GCGGGATACTAAAACAAATGACAGTCTACAATCAAGGGTTTTAATATAGATGGCGGGATACTAAAACAAATGACAGTCTACAATCAAGGGTTTTAATATAGATGGCGGGATACTAAAACAAATGACGGTCTACAATCAAGGGTTTTAATATAGATGGCGGGATACTGAAACAAATGACAGTCTACAATCAAGGGTTTTAATATAGATGGCGGGATACTAAAACAAATGACAGTCTACAATCAAGGGTTTTAATATAGATGGCGGGATACTGAAACAAATGACAGTCTACAATCAAGGTTTTTAATATAGATGGCGGGATACTAAAACAAATGACGGTCTACAATCAAGGGTTTTAATATAGATGGCGGGATACTGAAACAAATGACAGTCTACAATCAAGGGTTTTAATATAGATGGCGGGATACTGAAACAAATGACGGTCTACTACAATAAGCATTCTTAAATCAACTTATTAACGTGAAAATCATTACCATCATTCTAAACAAGAGAGATGTGAATGACAGCATCTAATTGGCTCATGATAGAGGGAATCCCAATTGTGTCTGAGCTAATCAAGAACAAACAGTAATTACACTATTGCTAATGACAGTGAAGTCTTTCTAGTGTTCTAACTGAGCTTGTGGCGGCGGTGGATGAGTGGTTTTCCTACTCGTGTGGTCACCTTTTGGTCCCGGAGTCGAATTTCTATTGGTGTGGAGGTAGTGTTGGGAGGGAGTGTGTGAAGGTAGTATGAGGAGGGAGTGTGTGGAGGTAGAGTGTAGAGGGAGTGTGTGAAGGTAGTATGTGGAGGGAGTGTGTGGAGGTAGTGTGTGTGGAGGTAGTGTGTGTGGAGGTAGTGTTGGGAGGGAGTGTGTGAAGGTAGTATGAGGAGGGAGTGTGTGGAGGTAGAGTGTAGAGGGAGTGTGTGAAGGTAGTATGTGGAGGTAGTGTCTGGCGATAGTGTGTGTGGAGGTAGTGTGTGGAGGTAGAGTGTGGAGGTAGAGTGTGGAGGTAGTATGTGGAGGGAGGTGGCGGCAGAATGTGGAGGTGAGTGTGAGGTAGTATGTGGAGGGAGGTGTGTCGGTAGAGTGTGTCGGTAGAGTGTGGCGTAGATGTGGAGGTAGAGTGTGGGAGGAAAGTGTAGCTGCAGTATGTGGATAAAGACTGGTGTTATGTCCATATTATCACCATCGAACGGTCGTACAAAAACATACATGGTTCAGAAATATCCACACCAGACAGACAGACAGACAGACAGACAGACAGACAGACAGACAGACAGACAGAGAGACAGACAGACCCATCCTGTTTTAGTCTGTGTTATGCGCGATGCCAGACACTCCTCCTGACTGATACCTTGGGTTGGCTTTAGACACGAGACTGTTTTGAGGGATAAGGAGTCGTGTAAGTGAGGTATAAGGGTAAGAAGTTGGCTATGGGGGGTGTAAAGGGGTAAGAGGTGTTAGGGCTAGCTAGTGTAAAGGTTTACAAAGAAAGCATATGGGGGGGTAAAGGAGATGATATGTTTGGGCTAGCTAGGGGGTGTAAAGGGGTCAGTATTAGAGATGGCTAGGGGGTAAGGAGGGTGTAAGAGGTGTTAGGGCTAGCTAGGGGTGTAAAGGGGGGGTTTAAGGGTGTTAGAGATGGCTAGGGTGTAAGGATATAAGATAGTTTGGGCATAGCTAGGTGTAAAGGGGTTTAAGGGTGTTAGAGATGGTTAGGGGTGTAAGGAGGGTAAGAGGTGTTTGGGCTAGCTAGGGGGTGTAAAGGGGGTTTAAGGGGTGTTAGAGATGGCTAGGGGGTGTAAGGAGGGTGTAAGGGTTGGCTAGGAAGTTGTAAGGTGATTGTAAGGGTGTTAGGGTTGGCTAGGAGAGTGTAAAGGGGTGGAAGGGTGTGTTAGGGGTATCCAGGAGGGTGTAAATGAGGTGTAAAGGGTGTTAGGATTCACACACACACATACACACACATACATACACACACAGACACACACGTACACAATACCTTAGCGTGGATCGACCAAGATAGGTTTCCAATACGAGGCGGAGAAGATGACCTCAGATACATTAGTTCTCACAGTCTTAATATCCGGGTGTGTTGGTTAGGTTAGGTTAGGTTTAGAACTGATGGAAAAACTAATGAATTTGTAGCAGAAAGATGAGAGAACTGCCCTAATGGTCGTTACTGTTGATCTAGTCGAACTGCGGACGATGTGTTAACGAGTGGAGGGTGTTGGTGGAGGGGGACAGTAGCCTGATATATCCACACCACAACGACTGGTCCTTCTGTAATGGGTGTTAACGAGTGGAGGGTGTTGGTGAAGGAGGATACTAGCCTGATATATCCACACGACAACGGCTGGTCCTTCTCTAGTGGGTGTTAACGAGTGGAGGGTGTTGGTGGAGGGGGATACTAGCCTGATATATCCACACGACAACGGCTGGTCCTTCTCTAGTGGGTGTTAACGAGTGGAGGGTGTTGGTGGAGGGGGATACTAGCCTGATATATCCACACGACAACGGCTGGTCCTTCTCTAGTGGGTGTTAACGAGTGGAGGGTGTTGGTGGAGGGGGACAGTAGCCTGATATATCCACACGACAACGGCTGGTCCTTCAGTGTGGGTGTTAATGAGTGGAGGGGTGTTGTGAGGACAGAGTCTGATATATCCACACACGACAACGGCTGGTCCTTTTCTTCTAGTGGGTGTTAATGAGTGGAGGGTGTTGGTGAGGGGCACAGTAGCTCTGATATATCCACATGACAACGGCTGGTCATTCTTTCTTCTAGTGGGTGTTAACGAGTGGAAAGGAGGGGACAGTAGCCTGATATATCCACACGACAACGGCTGGTCCTTCTCTAGTGGGTGTTAACGAGTGGAGGGTGTTGGTGGAGGGGGATAGTAGCCTGATATATCCACACGACAACGGCTGGTCCTTCTCTAGTGGGTATTAACGAGTGCCACCAGCAGACAACCTTACGAGGCATGTCAAATGGAAACTGGAAGGAAGAAGTGCTATTTGCTTAGTCCTTAGGCTATATATGACTAAGGTTGAATATCCTCTATCGTAGAATATTCTGTGATTAAGTTGACGAAATATACAGGTATGAGATAATTAGTGGTTGTCAATCATGGTTAGATAATTGATCATTTAATTTATTTATTTTTCCTCTTCAACCATTGATAGAAAAATCCTGGAAATTTAACTAAGGTAGATGTTGAAGTATAATTACCCCAACTACATATCTTTACCTGCCACTTATATCAGAAATTAATCAACAGGTGAGTGGTTCTTGGGATTTCTTGAGATTTCTTGGGATTTCTTGAGATTTCTTGAGATTTCTTGGGATTAATGTTTTAAACTAAGATGCAATTTCCAGGGAGATTCTTGAGTTAATTGTTTTTTTATTTTTGTTTTTGTTAACGTGATGGAAGGTTTGTTGAGGAGGTGTTGTTTATGTCTTCCCGTCTGTTTGTGTCTGTCTGAATATCCATTTGTTTGTTCGCTTGTCTGTTTGTTTGGTTGTATATCCGTTTGTTTGTGAATATTTTGTACTCTTCTGGGAAAACCCCCACACAAAAACAACAGCAACCCCCCCCCCCTCCCCCACACCCACAACCACACCCACAACAATTCTCGCTGGCAAAACTCCTAAAACACGTCAGTATGTCATTGTTCACCTGGCGGACAGAACAATGTGGCCGCTTCTCACTTGCCATTGTTGACCTGTCAATTAAATAATTTTTGATGTAAAGGAATTTAAAGTGAATATTAGTATAAGTCAATTGTTTGTATGTGTGTGTGTGTGTGTGTGTGTGTGTGTGTGTGTGTGTGTGTGTGTGTGTGTGTGTGTGTGTGTGTGTGTGTGCGTGTGTTAGAGTTTATATACGTGTTTAAGAAGTTATATTATTATTATTATTATATTATTATTATTATTATTATTATTAAACAATGAAGAAATTAACCTCATATGTACAAATACCTTCCTTTATCGCCTCAATGATAACCCTTACTAACTACCTAACGAGGTGGTTTATGTAAATTTTTGGAAAAATATTCTATCTGACGCACCCTGTATCATTGTAATTACTTACTCTAACGAACTCTGTATTATGTTAACTATCACATATATATATATAAAATGCTATGTTAATTATTGTTATTTACTCCTTCAGGGATATATATATATATATATATATATATATATATATATATATATATATATATATATATATATATATATATATATATATATATATATATATATATATATATATATATATATATATATATATATATATATATATATATATATTATAGGAACTAATCTTTCTATGAAACTATACTTTCTATTCACTCTTTCTATCACACTAAACTTATCTAGCAACTTTCTAATCACCTTTCATCAAACTAATCTTTTTAATTCCTCTACCTTTCAAAATAAACTTTCTAACCTACCTTTTCTGATACACTACCCTTTCTAACCTACCTTTTCTGATACACTACCCTTTCTAACCTACCTTTTCTGATACACTACCCTTTCTAACCTACCTTTTCTGATACACTACCCTTTCTAACCTACTGATACACTACCCTTTCTAACCTACCTTTTTCTGATACACTACCCTTTCTAACCTACCTTTTCTGATACACCATCTTTTCTAACCTACCTTTTCTGATACACTACCCTTTCTAACCTACCTTTTCTGATACACTACCCTTTCTAACCTACCTTTTCTGATACAATTACCCTTTTCTAACCTACTTTTTCTGATGTACACTACCCTTTCTAACCTACCTTTTTTCTGATACACTACCCTTTCTAACCTACCTTTTCATTACACTCACCTTTCTAACCTACCTTTTCTGATACACTACCCTTTTCAACCTACCTTTTCTGATACACTACCCTTTCTAACCTACTCAGTCTATCAAACTAACTTCTCTAACTAACCTTTTCTAAACGTACTAAGAGGAGTGTTTTTGTTTTGTTTACATGAGCAGCGTGGGGGAGCCGGGAGGCGGGAGCAGCACCATGGGGGCGGTGAGAGAGTGGTTGAACAACTGCTGGAGTCGCGCAAGTTGATTCTCGTGATCGTGGCCATTGCTCGCCTTGATAACATGCTCCTTACCACAGTCGGTGAGTGCCTGCCCACCCACCTGACTCACCTACCCACCTGACTACCCACCCACCCACCCACCCGCCTCACCACTGCCTCACCCACCTGCTCACCACCCACCTACCCACCCACCCACCCACCCACCTGACCACCCACCCACCCACCCACCACCCACCCACCCACCTGACTACCCACCCACCTGACCACCCACCCACCCACCTGACCACCCACCTGATCACCCACCATCTGTCACCACCACCACCCACCCCACCACCCACCACCCACCCACCACCTGACTACCCACCCACCTGACTACCCACCCACTGACCACCCACCCACCACCCACCTGCCCACAACCTGGCCACCCACCCACCACCCCTACCCACCCACCCACTCCACCCACCTGCCCACACCCGGTCCACCCACCACCTACCTGCCCACCTGCCTATCCACCCGTCCAACTGCCCACCCACCCACCCACCCAGTCACGCCCACCCACCCACCTTGACCACCCACCCACCCGACCACCCACCACCCACCCACCCGCCCACACCCGCCCACCCACCCACCCACCTGCCCACCCACCCACCCACCTGCCCACCCACCCACCCACCTGCCCACCTGCCCACCCACCCACCCACCTGCCCACCTGCCCACCCACCCACCCACCTGCCCACCTGCCCCACCTACCTCCACCTGCCCACCCACCCACTCACCTGCCCACCTGCCCACCACCTGCCACCCACCCACCACCCACCCACCTGCCACTCCACCCGCCCACACTCAATCTACCCACCCACCTGCCCACCCACCCACCCACCTGCCCACCCACCCACCCACCCACCCACTCCTGCCCACCCACCCACCCACCTGCCCACCCACTCCACCTGCCACCCACCACACCTACCCACCTGCCCACCACCCACCTGCTCCACCCACCTACCTACCTGCCCACCAACCTACCTGATTCTGTAGTGCCTCGTAGGTGAGTGAGTGCCTCCACCCGCCTGTCGATAGATGCCGTCCACTCATCTGTCGGTAAGTGAACTTTTCTGTATCCTGTCGGTGACCGTTTTATGCTACTTTGTTCCTGTCGGTTGGTGTGTCTGTATCTGTCGGAAGGTCTGTGTGTCCATCGGTGGTCCTGTGTGTCTGTCGGTCGGTTTGTGTGCCTTCGATGGGTCTGTATGTATTCGTCGGTGGGGTCTGTATGTCTGTCGGTGTTGCCCTTACGAACCCACGTCCTCACAACCCATAGTCTCGTCTACCCGACCCACAATCACACCCACACATCTGGACATGGTATAGATTCACGCCCACCACCTGGAGGTAATATTATAATACACACGCCCACACGCCCACACGCCCCTCACTTGACGTATGGTGTTTATTGTTCTCTCTCAGTACCTGTTGATGACGTCACGAACAGGTTCTCCACGACCCCCCTGATGACGTAGAGCGTGACGTCACAGTGCCCTGGGGGGGTTATGTGAATGTTTTATCTGTGTTTCTCTTTGTTTGTGTTCTAGAAAGTGTTTTTGTGGGTTTAAAGAGCTCCAATGTACCCCAACTCCGCCCCCACCCTGCCCCTACCCCTGCCCCTACTCCTGCCCCTACCCTGCCCCACTCCCGCCCCTACTCCCCGCCCCCACTCTCCCTCTCTCTATCTCTAACCCCAAAATCTCCTTCGCCTCCCTGTCTTTCACTCTGCCTCCTCCTCCCTCTCTCTCCTTATCTCCTCCTATTTATCCTCACCTCCTTCCTTCTCTCTCTCCTGCCCCCTTTGTACCCCCATCACCCCTCACCCCCACCATTGATCAGGGTGGTTACAGAAGCCTCGACACCACTCTTGTTCCTCCGGTACCCCAGTTCGATACCTCCTTTAGGATCCTCCCTCTTTCTCCCTCTCTCCTTTCTCCTTTCTCCCTCTTCTTCCCTCCCCATCTCCTCTCTGTACTCTCCTCCCCTTCCTCTCCCTACCTTCCCTCTCTCCCTCCCCCTCACAAGAGACCCTAACCAACACCACCACTTCTTCCTTGAAAAAAGTCTTAACATGGGATCTTTATGCCTTCTGGTCTTGAGGTCTTGAAAGTCTTAATTTTAGGTCTTGGGTCTTATGTTCTAGTCTTGAGTCTTATTTAGTCTTAAGTTTCAATCATTTATTAATTTTACCGATGTTTATTAAAAAAAACAATCAATAACCATTACAATAAACATCTCAATATATAAATCTTAAGAAACATTTCAATATAAAGTTTTAATAATAAATTTCAATAAACATTTCAATAAACATTTCAATAAACATTTCAATAAACATTTCAATAACCATTTTCCTTTGTTTTTCTCTATGTATTTCAGTGCCAATTATACCCAAGTACTTATACATGTTACGTCACCCCAACGCCACCGAAACTACCATCATCGAGACCACCACAACTACCCTAACTACCACAACTACGCCCCTACAATCCCCACTCCTTAACAATGGTAAGGAATATTCTACAACTATTACAACTCCTACTATTACTACCACCATTACAACTATTGAGAGTAAGTTGATGTGAGGGTGTAATGTAAGGATCGTGGTTAGTCGATAGTGGTAATAGAATGGTGGTAATGGTGGTAATGGTGGTAGTAGTAATAGTAGTAGTAGTAGTTTAGTGGAGGTAGTAATAGTAGTGGTAACAATAGTAGTAGTAATAGCAGTAATAGTAGTAATAGTAGTATTAATAATAGTAAATAGCAATTGTAATAGTAGTAGTAGTAGTAGTAATAATAATATGGTACAAGTAGTAATAATAATAGCAATAATAGTAGTGATAATAGTAATAATAGCAAAAAAATAGTAATAATAAAGTGTGTACGTATCTGTGTGTGTGTGTTATTACAGGTGTGTGCGTGCCGTGTCCTCCGTGTGCGTCAGGGGGGGAGACTGGCCCTCCTGAATTCACCTCTTTGGAACCCCAGGCACCGACACCCCCCCTGTGCCTCCTGGCTTCCCTCCTGAAAAGGTGAGTCACTCTAAGTCACTCTAAGTCACTCTTTAAGTCACTCTAAGTCACTCTTTAAGTCACTCTAAGTCACTCTAAGTCACCTTTTTGCACTGTCACTCTTTTTAAGTCACCTTGTCACTCTAAGTCAATTTTAAGTCACTCTTAAGTCACTCTAAGTCACTCTGTCACTCTTAAGTCACTTAAGTCACTCTTGTCACTCTAAGTCACTTTTAAGTCACTCTAAGTCACTTTGTCACTTTAAGTCACTCTAAGTCACTCTTAAGTCACTCCAAGTCACTTTGTCACTCTTAGTCACTCTAGTCACTTTTAAGTCACTCTAGTCACTTTTTATGTCACTTTAGTCACTCTAGTCACTTTAAGTCACTTTTGTCACTCTAAGTCACTTTTAAGTCACTCTTTGTCATCAATTGGTCACCAAAGTCAATTTGTCACCTGTCACCTAAGTCACTCTTGGGTCACTCTGTCACTCTGTCACTCTTTAGTCACTTTGTCAATTTAAGTCACTCTTGTCACTCTAAGTCACTTTTTGTCACTTGTCACTCTAAGTCACTTTTAGTCACTCTAAGTCACTCTGTCAATTGTCACTCTAAGTCACTCTAGTCACTCTGTCAATTAAAGTCACCTGTCACTCTTGTCACTCTAAGTCACCTTGTCACTTAAGTCACTCTGTCACTCTTTTGTCACTTTAAGTCACTCTTGTCACTTGTCACTCTTGTCACCTAAGTCACCTAAGTCACCTTGAAGTCACTCTAAGTCACTCTTTAGTCACTCTAAGTCACTTTAAGTCACTCTAAGTCACTCTTTAACTCACTTAAGTCACTTCTTAATCTCACTCTAGTCACTTGTCACTCTTCAAGTCACTCTAAGTCACTCTCTTAAGTCACTCTAAGTCACTCTAACTCACTTTAAGTCACCTAAGTCACTTTAAGTCACTCTAAGTCACTCTTTAACTCAATTTAAGTCACTCTTTTAACTCACTTAAGTCACTCTTAAGTCACTCTTAAGTCACTCTAGTCACTCTAAGTCACTCTTAACTCACTTTGTCACTCTAAGTCACTCTAAGTCACTCTTAAGTCACTCTAAGTCACTCTGTAATCACCTGTCACTCTTAAGTCACTCTTAACTCCACTCTTCAAGTCACTCTAAGTCACTCTTAAGTCACTCTAGTCACCTTCAAGTCACTCAAGTCACTCTAACTCACCTTGTCACTCTAAGTCACTCTTAACTCAATTTAAGTCACTCTTAAGTCACTCTAAGTCACTCTTCACTCTAAGTCACTCTAAGTCACTCTTAGTCACTCTTGTCACTTGTCACTCTTTAAGTCACTCTAAGTCACTCTTTAAGTCACTCTAAGTCACTCTAAAGTCACTCTAAGTCACTCTAAGTCACTCTTTAAGTCACTCTAAGTCACTCCAAGTCAATATGATACTCTTTAAGGTCCTCTAAGGCATTCTAAATCGCCTTTAAGTCACTCTTACTTTCACCCGACAGAGAGCTCTCACTTTCACCCGACAGATAACTTTCACTTTCACCCGACGGATGACTCTCACTTTCACCTAACGGATAACTCTCACTTTCACCCGACAGATTACTTTCACTTTCACCCGACGGATAACTCTCACTTTCACCCGACAGATAACTTTCACCAGACGGATAACTCTCACTACTTCAAAGGATGACTCTCACTTTCACCCGACAGAGCTTTCACTCTCACCCAACAGAGCTCTCATTTCACCCAACAGAGCTCTCACTTTAACCCGACGGATAACTCTCACTTTCACCCAACAGAGATCCACAGTTCGCTCATCATCCATCACTGTCACTTCCCATCTTTCATCAGTCATGTTTTCACTCATTTCTTTCATCTTCTTTCCGCCTTCCTCTTTCTGTAATGTAATAATCTTTTGCTTTTTTTTTTCTAACCTAACCTAACCTAACCTAAACCTAACCTAACCTAACCTAATCTAAACCTAACCTAACCTAACCTAACCTATTCTAAACTAATCCACTACATCCCCTTCATATCCCACCACAGCCCAGGGCAGGCCATCCCCATCGACGGAATTCTTGAAAACATGACGCCCAGGAACTTCCCCCACGCAGGTTCGCCAGGAGGGAGGAAGGAAAAGGAGGAGGGAAGGAAGAGAAGGAGAAAGAGGAGGAGGAGGAACCCGTAAGACGTACTTTGTCTGGGATGAACCACGATGACCTGGTGAGCGAGAACGTGGAGGTGGGATTGCTGTTCTGCTCCAAGGCCGTAGTTCAACTTATCACCAACCCCTTCATCGGACTCCTCACACACAGGTCAGTCCAGGGCTCAAGAGGTCACCGGGCCCCTCACACACACACACACAGGTCAGTCTAGGGCTCAAGAGGTCACCGGTCCCCTCACACACACAGGTCAATCCATGTGTCAAGAGGTCACGTTGAGATTGTAAGTATGTTAGTTAAGGGCACTCGTAAGGGCTGGTTTATCTCGACTATATGTGAAAAGGGCTCTCAAGATCCCTAATTGCCATTATATTAATGCCCCTGAATCTTCCCTGACATGCATTAGGAATCTTGAGTACAGAGACAGGTTAAACCATTTTAATTTGCACTCCCTCGAGAGACGTAGAGCGAGGGGCGACATAACAAAGGTACTCAAACTATCTAACCAGGAGCGAACTCGTAACAATGGTTTTAAATTAGACAAATTTAGATTTAGGGCGTGAAATAGAAAATGGGTCAAAATAGATTAGTGACGAGGAACAAGTTACCAACATCATTAACTCGAATACGCTGGCTAGCTTCAAACATATGTAGGATGGATATAGAGCAATAGGGTTGGTGTAAATGGGACTGCCCAGTAGACACGCTGCAGTTTCTTCCATTCTATGTTCTTATGTTCTTATGCGCCCTGAATCTTCCCTGACATGCGCCCTGATTTATGCCAGCGAGAGGTTGTGGCCTTTAGGGTGGCAATACTGTGTTCACTGATCGTATATATGGCACCCTATACATATGGCGCCCTAGTACATATGGCACCCTAGTTCCTATGGCACCTCTTAGTACATATGGCACCTCCTAGTACATATGGCACATCCTAGTGCATATGGCACCATCCTAGTACATATGGCACCTCCTAGTACATATGGCACCATCCTAGTATTTGGCACCATCCTAGTACATATGGCACCATCCTAGTTTTGGCACCTCCTAGTACATATGGCACCTCCTAGTACATATGGCACCTCCTAGTACATATGGCACCTCCTAGTACATATGGCACCTCCTAGTACATATGGCACCTCCTAGTACATATGGCACCTCCTAGTACATATGGCTCCATCCCTACACTTTAATTGAGTTCATCATTAATATTCTGACGTAGTTGTGATTTCTAACACACACACACACACACACACATCAAAAGTCCCACATGTAAGGCGTTTATGATAATCTACGAGTGCATTTCCACCTCACTTCCACTTTCCCTCACCTCTCATTCTCCCCTTTCACTCTCCCTCCTCCCTCTGCCCTCTGGCCTCACCGCATACTGATGAGGCAGAAGAGGAAGGAGTCATCACGCTTCATCGTGTGTGTGTGTAAGAGTTGAGAGGGTGGAGAGAAGAGAGAGATGACCCTACTTCTTTTTACCTTCCGCCTCATCTTTTTCTTTTCTCCTCTCTCTCTCTCCTCTCCTCTCCTCTCGACCTGGACAAGCAATTAGGCAGAAGGTGATGATCAACAGTACCTCTCCCTTCTACCTTAACGCTGCCTTCCTTCCTTCCTTCCTTCCTTCCTTCCTTCCTTCCTTCTTCCTTCCTCTTCCTTCCTTCTCAACCTCCTATGTTTTTTGAAATCTCCTCCATTCCTTCTGCCAGCCAGCCTCCTCCATGCCTCACTCCCCCTCCTTCCCCACTCTCACCCTCTCTCCCTCCCCCCCATCTCCCCTTCTCCCTTCTCTCCCCCCACAACCCCCATTCTTCATAACCAGGCCAAATGACCCTCGGTGTCCCTCATTGTTATGGGGGAAACCACACCCCATAAAAGGGGGGTATGGGAGGGGTGAGGGGAAGGGCAGGAGGTGAGGTAGTGTAATATCCCCGGTCTGGCTTGGACATTCCTGCCTCGCACCCCGGGAATGGAGAGGAGGGCGGGAATCTTGGAATGGTTGGAATATTTGACGTTCCTGCAGTGCCATTCATTCTGGGTCCCAGGAAACAATGGGAATGGTGGTGTTTGTGTGTAGTGGTGGTGGTGGTTGTGTGGTGTGTGGTTGTGGGTGTGGTGGTGGGTGGTGATTGTGTGTGGTATGGTGGTATTGTGTGTTGTAATGTGATTGTGGTGGTGGTGATTGTGGTAGTGGTGGTGATAGTGGGTGGTGGTTGATGGTGATTGTGGTGGTGGTGGTGGTGGTGGTTGATGGTGATTGTGGTGGTGGTTGGAGGTGGTTGGTGATTGTGGTGGTGGTGGTGGTGGTGGTTGATGGTGGTTGGTGGTGGTGAAGAGAGAGGGAGATAATACTGATTTCCTACTACACCCAAATCCCACCCACATTACCACCCATATCCCACTATCCTACCAACATCACACCCATCCCACCCAACCCCACACCACCCACCTTTCAATTCAATATCCCACCCAATGGCAAATCACCAACCCTAACCACATCCCACCCATCCCACCCACAATTTTTCGCCATCAGAAAGGTAATACCTCACTTGTTTACCCGAACGGAACACAATGACTGTACTTTCCGTGTCCGATTGGAAGTGTCGAGGTCTTTATAGGCTGGGGGTGAGGGGAGGGGAAGGAGGGGGGAATAGGGGAGGGGGGGTCTAGTCCTAGTTAATAGCCACGTATAGACAAGATGGAAAGTCTGTATGTGAGGGGGGGGTGGGGTGAGAGAGGGGGAGATGGAGGCGTGTTGGGGGAGGGGGTCATAACGTGTAGATACTGTCTGAAGCTGTAACATGATGTGCTAAGGTTCTTCCTCGCCGTCACTGTGTTGTGGCGCCACATAATTACCTCCACAATAGCAACAGCGTTCAGTAAAAAAAAAAAAATTGTAGAAAAAAATACATTCTTACTTTTTATATATTTTTACGAGAAGGTAACGAAGGTGTTCTGACGTTGTGAAATTAGTACGTGTCAGTGTGGCCAATAAGAGTTAAAGAATCACAGTTGAGAGTGATGTGAATAGTGGAACGGCTCGTGTAGAATGACGAGAGAGGCCCGGTGGAGATGGCAAGAAACATAGGTTAAAAGCCAAAAAGTAAATTAGTTCCAGATGGACACACGAACAAACACTCACTACCATACTACCATCACCTCAAAGTTAACGTGCAATACTACCATATAATATAAAACAAACTGTAGTAATAAATCATGGCATCATATCTAAGAAGTGTAGTGATGGAGGAGAAATATAGCATCATGGAAGATATATGGGCAACACCGCTAAGGGTAAAATCGGGAAGTGTGTTCAATATTTTAGAAATTTGGAAGAAATATTGTATGAGGCTTTTTATTCTCGGTGCTTCCATCTGTTATCATCACCTACTTGTACGATAAAGCATTTGTTTGTTTGTTTGTGTGTGTGGGTGTGGGTGTGTGTGTGTGTGGGTGTGTGTGTGGTGTGGGTGTGTGTGCCGTTCACTGATTCATATTATTAACACTTGACAAAACCATTAACGGATCTAATTTAGGCTATTATTATTATTATTATTATTATTATTATTATTATTATTATTATCGAATTTATCTTTACCACAATAATAATAATAAAAATAATTCCTTATCTATTTTTGTTTTCTATACCGGACGTTGAGTTATGGTCATCATCCTGCTATTAAATAAACTTTATTATAAAACTCTGCTCCTAAATCTCAGCTCACCTATTAAGGAGTCTCCCCAATTACTGACGAAAAACAATCAAAAAGGAAATGCCAGAAATATTCAAAGTGAGGCAGCAGCTCCCGACCACTCCATCTTGGGTCCCACCATAATTACACATCGGATATAGAGAAACACCTCCAAGACGAGCCCTTCCTCCAACTGATCGGCGCCTGCGAGTTCCTTATAGTTTTTCTTTGGTCGTAATTAAGAACCATTCACTTATGATAGTAGGTCACGAGCGGCAGAAATTCATATAAACGGAGGGGCGATTTAGGAAAGTTCGTTCATTTTCGACTCATTCATCACCGGGCTGGCTGATGCGCGATGACTCCTGCTTGATTATGTGTGACCTCCCCATCTCCTTTTATTTCTTCTTCTTGTTGTTTAATTATTTTCTTGTTTTATATTTTTAATTTTTACTAATGGAATTAAGATAAAGCGGTTGTTTTGGTAACTTATTTGAGAAAATTGTCCAGTACGATATGTTTCTTAGGCAAGTGACGTCATCGATTGCCACATATTGCCAGACGTAGAATAAAAAATTATATATAATGTTTTCTACACAAATAAAGATGATAATAAAAATAAAAATAAAACAAATAATAACATTAACACTAACATACACCATCCATTGTTTAAAACAAATTACTAATTCGGTTTCATATTAATTTCTATTGCATTTAATTCATCTTTATTATCTCTCTCCGTCTCTCTCTCTGTTACCCTATTTCACCCTCATCTATCTCTTTTCTTCCTTAATTATCAATTTTCTCAACCTTACACTGGAGGGGAGGGGGTAGGGGTCAGGGGACAAAGGGGGAGTAAGGTAGTAAGGGGGACGAACAAGGAGGGGAGGAGGTAGTGGGAATAGTTTTTAGGGTCCACTGTCACCTAGGCGGCCACCCATGAAAATTTAATTCTGTTTTGTCTTCGGCGGAGGAGGCGGTGAATTTATTGACCAGAGGAAGGAGGGGGAGGGGGGAGGGGGAGGGGGGGGGATATGGAGGGGGGGCTGGAGGAGGAGGAGGAGGTAGGAAGAAAGAGAGGAGTAGGAAGGGAAGAAAGGGAGGGAAGGGATAGAGGAGGAGGGGGAAGAAGAGGGTAGAAGGAGGAAGAGAGGGAAGACATAGTAAAGAGGTGAGATGGAAGAATTAGAGAAGGAGATGAGAGAAAGGGAAGAGATGAGGCGGAACAAGATAGAAGAACAAGAAGAGGAAGGAGAAAAAATAATAAAAAGAAGAAGATGAAGAAGAAGAAGAAGAGAGAAGGAAAAATGAAAGAAATGAATGAAGCAGAGAAGAAAGATGGAAAATCTCACCACAAGGAAATTTGAGTGATTTTACGACAGGAATTTTGAGAGAAGGAAAAGATCAAAGGAAAATTGCTCTTGTTTATGGCATCAAAGAGAGTAAGCTTATAGGGGTGAGAGCCTGGGTGTAGTGGTGGGTGTAGTGGTGGGTGTAGTGGGTGTAGTGGTGGGTGTAGCAGTGGGTACCCTTTAATGTTGCCCACTTTCGGTATCTCGGCTCCCACCTGTCCACCACCGCGGACATCGATGAAGAGATTCAACATCAGAGAAGATGTGCATCTCAAGCCTTTGGCAGACTCCGTACCCGTGTCTTCAGCTGTAGGGAGCTGAAATTATCTACAAAGTTACCCGGATATCGAGCAGTGGTCCTCCCACCCCTGCTATATGGCAGCGAGATATGGGTCACATACAGGAGGCACCTTCATGGCACTTGAAAACTTTCACCAACGTAGTCTATATTTCATCCTCCGAGTTCGCTGGGAAGACAAGAGAACAAACGTCAGTATTCTCGCGACACCAACTGTAGAGCATCGAGGCTACCATTATCCATGAACAACTACGCTGGACTGGCCATGTTACTCCGCATGGACGACAGTGAGACTGCCAAAGCAGCTACTTTACAGTCACTTAACGAATAGTAAACGTAACGCCGGCGGGCAACTGAAGTGGTATAAGGATAGTCTTAAGACAAACCTGAAAAAGTAGTGCCAAATCGACCCCTCACCTGGGAGACGATTACTCCACACCGTAACGCTTGAGGAGCACCACACGAGGTGTCAATACTTTCGAGTTAGCCCGACTGAAAACCGAGGCAGACAAGCGCCAACGCCGGAGAGACGCTGCCGCCGCCCTCCCGCACTAGATGCAGCCTCCCGTGCAACATCTGTGATCGACTGGTCCGTATCGTTTGTCACAGAACCTACTGGTGACATCTAATAACTCATTCATTGTATCATAGCTGGATGATCGTCATACTCGATTCTAGAACACAGTAGTATAGTAGCAGTGGGGTAGCGGGTGTAGGTGTGTGCTGGGTGTAGCGGTGTAGTAGTGGGTGTAGCGGGTAGTAGGGTGTAGCGGGTGTAGAACTGGGTGTAGGTAGTAGTGGGTGTAGGTGGTTGGGTTGGGTGTGGGGTGTAGTGTGGCGTGTAGTAGTGGTGTGGTGTAGAACTGGGTGTGGGTAGTGGGGTGTGGTGTGACTGGGTGGTGTGGTGTGCGGGTAGAACTGGGTGTAGAAGAGAGTGTAACATTTAACTCATATTTTCACCGACTTCTATTTTAGCGTTGTATTAAATTTACGTCATTTAATTTTCCCGTTTCCATCCTGAAGTATTTTTAGCGACTCAAGATTCTGTTTTTGGTCGCCATTAATTCTCTTAATAAATTCTAAAGGTCGTTTGATAACTTCTTGGAGAGTCGTGCGATAATTATGTCCTCGAACGTAATTTTCATTAATTGTATTGATGATAATGAGCCAATTTAAGCTCTCGTGTAATTTAGGAATTGGCGAAGCTTTAAATTTAGCAGATAGATAGATAGATAGATAGATAGATAGATAGATAGATAGATAGATAATACGAGGCTAAAAAATATATATACAGTATATATAAATGTAGACAGAGAATGAGGGGGATAATTAGTGCTGAAATAATTGAGCCAGAGAGACGTTAAGCCCCTTGACTAATGACTACAACTTCACCCTTATTGATCCCGGGTCTTTATCACCCCCTTAGATGGTGCGTCTCTCTCTCTCTCTCTCTCTCTCTCTCTAAGTAGGAAGGAAGGAAGGAGGAGAAAGGAAGAGAGAGAGAGAAGAAGGAAGAAAGGAGGAAGGAGAGGGAATAAAAAGAGGAAGAGAGAGGGAGAGAAGAGAGGGAGAGGGGCGTGGGAGAGGGAGTGAGAGGGGTCACTAACATTGTTCCACTCGGCTGAGAACACAATGTTTCAGTTATGTCCTCCCTCCCTCTCTCCTCCCTCCCTCCTCCCCTCCCTCTCCTCTCCCTCCCTCCCTCCCTCCCTCCTTCCTCCCCCTCTTCCCTCCCTCCCCTCCTCCCTCTCTCCCTCCTTCCTCCTCTCCTTCCCTCCTCCTCCTCCCTCCCTCCTTCCTCCCCTTCTCCCTCCCCTCCGTCCATCCCTTCCATCCTTCCTCCTTCCCTCCCTCGATATGGAAGAAAGAGAAATGAAAACTGAGAAAAAGTGAAAAAGGCAAAATTAAAGATAACTATGGAAATAAGACGCAAATAATAATAATAATAATAATAATAATAATAATAATAATAATAATAATAATAATATAACAATTTATTTCCTCTTAATTTAATTGTTCGAAGACTTTAATTTACTTCAGGAAATTTGATTCGATTGAGATGGTAGTGTGTGTGTGTGTGTGTGTGTGTGTGTGTGTGTGTGTGTGTGTGTGTGTGTGTGTGTCCTCCCCACCTTTAATGATGGCCAAGGTCAAGTGCCAGTAAGTCACTGACACACCAACAAACCCTTTCAGATTTCTCGGGGACGATTAGCTGGAGGGGAAAAGGAGGAGAAGGAGGGAGGGAGGAAGAGATGAGAGAGGAAAGGGGAAGGTGGGAAAAGAAAGAAGTTGGATGCGGTCATTTTTTTGTATTTTCTTTGTTTGGTATACAAGTGATCAAGGGGCCTCAAGGGGGGATTGTTTTTTGTTTTCGATATCTTTACATAGGACAACAAGGAGGTAAGGGGGAAGTGGTAGGGGGTGAGGTGGGGGAGGAAGGGGAGGAATTAATGTTTGCACAACTCAGGAGGCTTGTGAAGATGTACCTGAAAAGATGCATTGTTGGTCGCTGAGTTGCCTAGGGGGGGGCTGGTGGGGGTGAGGAGAGGGAGTGGGGAGTAAGGGTAGGGAGTAGGGGGTGGGGGTGAAGGGTAGAACATGTTGTTGTTGGGGGATGGAGGGATATGGAGAGGGGGGTGGTGAGAGAGAAGACATTTGGCCAAGTAGAAAACACAGGGCCAGGTGAGGAGGCCAGGTGAGAGGGCCAGGTGAGAGAGAGCCAGAAATAGGGTATAGGGCCGGGTAGGAGGGTGACATATGGCCATTGGGATTAGAGGGGTGAGAATGGGTCAAGGGGGGGTGGGGGAGTGGGGGGTAAGGGGCCTAGGGGTGCACAGGGCCATAGGAGGTGCAGGGGCCATGGCCAGGGTGGGGAGGGGGGGGGTCTGAGGACTGGGGAGGCACCTAATGGAAATGACCTGAGGGCAAGCCTGGAGAATGTGCATTATGGAGGAGTGGGGGGAGAGGAGAGGGAGAGAGGGAGGGTGGGAGAGGGAGAGAGAAGGAGAGGGCGTGTGGGGGGAGAGGGGAGAGGGGGAGGAGAGGGAAGAGGGAGAGAGAGAGGGAGGGGAGTGTGGGGGGAGAGAGGGGGGAGGGGGAGGAGGAAGGGGAGGGGGGGAGGGTGGAGAGGGAGGGGGGGAGAGAGGGAGGGTGAGGGGAGGGAGAGGGGGGAGTAGAGAGGGAGAGGGAGTGACAGGGGAGGCGTGGAGAAGGAGAGGGAGAGGGAGGAGGGGGAGGAGAGAAGGGGGAGGGTGAAGAGATGGAGGGAGAGGTCAAGTGAGATGGAGAGAGAAGGTCAAGTGGGAGGAGATGATGGAAGAGGGATGGAAGGGCCCATGTTAGATATATTGATTCGAGAGAGAGAGTCGAGATGGAGACTAATAAGGTGAGAAAAGAGAGAACTTTGTTATTATCAGTAGCAAGTTCTGGTTTAAAAAGAAAGAAAGAAAGAAAGAAGAAAGAAAGAAAGAAAGAAAGAAAGAAAGAAAGAATAGTCGTAAAGGTCTGGTTTAAAAAAGAAAGAAAGAAAGAATGAAAGAAAGAAAGAAAAGAAAGAAAAGAAAAGAAAGAAAAGAAAGAAAGAAAGAAGAAAGAAGAAAGAAAGAAGTTACTAAAATCACCATAACAAAATAATTTACAAAAAAAAATATATAGGGTGATATTTTGTAATTAATAAAAGTAATTGTTTTTATTATAATTGAATTACCCCCAAAAGGGTTTAATATAGAGGTTTAGGTCGAGTTTTAGGTAGAGGTTTAAGTACTGGTTTAGGTAGAGTTTTAGGTAGAGATTAGGTACTTGTTTAGGTAATGATTTAGGTACTGGTTTAAGTACTGATTTAAGTATTGGTTTTAGAGTATTGGTTTAAGTACTGGTTTAAGTATTGGTTTAAGTATTGGTTTAAAGTACTGGTTTAAGTACTGATTTAAGTATTGGTTTAAGTATTGGTTTAAGTACTGGTTTAAGTATTGGTTTAAAATGGTTTAGGTACTGGTTTAAGTACTGGCTTAAGTACTGGTTTAAGTACTAGTTTAAGTATTAGTTTAGGTGCTGGTTTAAGTACTGGTTTAAGTACTGGTTTAGGTACTGGTTTAGGTACTGGTTTAGGTTAAGATGTACTAATAAGAGACTGGTTTCTCCCCTCCCAGGATCGGCTACAGTCTACCCATGTTTGCAGGCTTCGTCATCATGTTCATCTCGACGCTGAGTAAGTGATGCTCTCTGTCTGTCTCTCTGTCTTCCTGTCTGTCTGTTTATTTCTGTCTGTCTGTCTGTATATCTGTTTGTATGTCTGTCTATCTCTCCTTTTTATCTATCAGCTCTCTCTCCTTCTCCTCACCCCATCTAGAAGACATATCTGTTTGGTCAGGGATGGCGGCACACGTGACTACTACTTTAATTTGACCCGAGAGGATTTTTTGTAAGGATCATCTCGAGAGGTCTGTGGAAGTGGCTGACTGTCCCTTCCTCTAAATAGTGATGATGTTTTTTCTTTGTTGTGGTGTTGAGAGGAGAGGAGGTAGGAGGAGAGGGGTGGGGGGGTAGGAGGGAGGAGAGAGAGTGGGGGGGGTAGGAGGAGATGGGGTGGGGGGTAGGAGGAGAGAGAGAGAAGGGGTGACTGAAGGAGAGAGAGAGAGATAAGAGGTAGCAATTCTTCCATTTCACATGTCGTGTTAAAATATAGTTCACTTAACCTAATCTAACCTAGCCTAACCTAACCTAACCTAACCTAATCTAACCTAACCTAACCTAACTAACTAACCTAACCTAACCTAACCTAACCTAACTTAACCTAATCTAACCTAAAACTTCACCTATTAATCATCTCCACTAAAGTTAAAACTCAAATACTAAAACGATCTTAAATTTCTTAGAATCAATTCCCTCCTCTGTAAGATCGAGTCACAGTATAATTTCGACGCCATTTTGAATCCCTATGTCAGATTTGAGGGGCTGTTAGGCTGCAAGCTTCCAATCATACTGAGGCCCCAATCAAGCTTAAACTATCGATTATGATTGGGACTCACTAGGATTGTAAAAGATTAGGTGTATCGTTTATCCAATCACTCTGTCGAATTTGCCGAATCTGATACACTGGTTGTAAGATTAGAGGAGTTATAGGACCTTCTTGCTCTAAACCAGGTTAATCAGTAAACTAGGTAGGTAGGTGGGTCATGTAGGTGGGGTATGGTGGTGGGTTTTGGGTTGGTGGGGTTTTGGTGAGGGGGTTATGTGGTGGGTTATGGTTATAGTAGTTGGATCATGGTAGTGAGGTTATGGTGGGTGGGTTATAGTGGTGGGTTATGGTAGTTGGGTTATAGTAGGGTGGGTTATGGTAGGTGGGTTATGGTAGGTGGGTGTTATGGGTGGGTTGTGGGGTTTTGGTGGGTTTGTGTTGGGTTATAGTGGAGGGTTGTACGGGTTGGTGGATGGATCATGGTGGGTGGGTTATGGTAGGTGGATCATGGTGGGTGGATCATGGTAGGTGGATCATGGTAGGTGGATCATATGGTGGGTGGATCATGGTAGGTGGATCATGGTAGGTGGATCATATGGTGGGTGGATCATGGTAGGTGGATCATGGTAGGTGGATCATGGTGGGTGGATCATATGGTGGGTGGATCATGGTGGGTGGATCATATGTGGGTGGATATGGTAGGTGGAACATGGTAGGTGGATCATATGGTAGACCAGGTCACACAATGAAAGTTGGTCACAAGAGGTCACATTGGAACACATAATAGTGGTTGAATGGTACCACATCTCTCTCTCTCTCTCTCGTACCCTCTTCATACTCCACCTCCTTCCCCCCCCTCCTTCCCTCCCTCCTTCACCTCCTCCTTCCCTCCCTCCTTCACCTCACCTCCTTGATTTACTGTTGCTGCGAGACGTGGAGGTACAAGTAATTAAGCTAAGAGCTGGTAAGACGGTTTTCCACTTGAGGAGGTCGACTGTATCTCTGACCAGCGTGTGCGTGTGTGTGTGTGTGTGTGTGTGTGTTTAAATGCTCGTACACACATGGCTGTTTACACTATCATCATCACCACTACAACCACCAACACTACCACAACTACCACAACTACCACCAACACTACCACACACCAACCACCTCTACCACTACATGATAAAGGTCTCCTCCATATTCTACCAACCACAATCTCAATTTTGTTTTTCTCTCGTCACTAAATAATTGGTCTTTTCCTTCTGGGTCTTTTCCTATCTCGTGGGATCTCGCTGCTGCTCTCTCTCTCTCTCTCTCTCTCTCTCTCTTATAATACATAATACACAATTTGATATGACCATTTCTGCCCCCTCCTACCTCCTCTTCCCTCTCCACCCCACCCTCCTCCTCCCCCACCTCCTCCCCCTCCTCCCCTCCCCCATATTGATGCTCCCTCCCTCGCCTCCATCTGCTACACTCAAGCCAATTTCCCGTTGACAGACACCTTCTTCTATACCTCCTTTATGTAATGGCATCACCACTTTACCTCCCTCCCCTCTCCTTACCTTCCTCCCTTACTCCCTCACCCACCTCCCTCACCCTCTCCTTACCTTTCTCCTTACTCCCTCACCCCCGTCCCTTACCCTCTCCCTTACTCCTCACCTACCTCCCTCCACCCTCTCCCTTACCTTCCTCCCTCTCCCTCACCCCCCCCTCCCTCCTCTCCCTTCCTTCTCCCTTACTCCCTCACCCCCTCCCTCACCCTCTCCCTTACCTTCTCCCTTACTCCCTCACCCCCCTCCTTACCTTCCTCCTCCTCCCTCACCCACCTCTCTCACCCTCTCCCTTACTTTCCTCCCTTCTCCCTCACCCCCTCCTTACCCTCTCCCTTACCTTCCTCCCCTTCTCCCTCCCCCCTCCCCCACCTCTCCTTACCTTCCTCCCTTCTCCCTCACCCTCTCCCTTACCTTCCTCCCTTACCCCCTTACACCTCTCCCCTCCTTACCTCCTTCTCTCTCACCTGCCATCCTTACTCCTTCTCCTCCTCCACTTATTAACATCACCTCGGAACACAATCACACCTTCACTCTCATTAACAAGGTGATTGAGCCTCCCCCTCCCTCGTTAACAAGGTAATTGTGCCCATCCCCTCTCGCTAACAAGATAGTTGGGCCCTTCCCCTCTCGTTAACCAGTCATTTGAGCCCCTTCCTTCTCGTTAACAAGGCACTTGAGCCCCTCCCCTCTCGTTAACATGATAGCTAAGCCCCTTCCTTCTCGTTAACAAGACAGTTGGGCCCATCCCCTCTCGTTAACAATTTGAGCCCCTTCCTTCTCGTTAACCAGTCAGTTGAGCCCCTCCCGTCTCGTTAACAATTTGAGCCCCTCCGCTCTCGTTAACAAGGGAGTTGAGGGTTGTTAGTTGACAATGGTTTCGTCTTGTCGCTGGTCACTCTCACACACCGTCTGCCATCACCAAGGACGCCTCTTGATGAAGGATGTGTGAAATGTGGGAAAATTCTCTCTCTCTCTCTCTCTCTCTCTCTCTCTCTTATCACATTTTTGTGTGTGTGGGAGATGGAGTGTGGTTGGTGGCAGTAGTGTCTTTCTTTCTTTCTTTCTTTCTTTCTTTCTTTCTTTATTTATTTATTTATTTTCTCTTTATTTTTAAGCTGTCTTTGTCTCTTATTTTGTTATTTCGTTTTTTAGCTCTCTCTCTCTCTCTCTCTCTCTCTCTCTCTCTCTCTCTCTCTCTCTCTCTCTCTCTCTCTCTCTCTCTCTCTCTCTCTCTCTCTCTCTCTCTCTCCTTTCTCTCATTTTTCTCTCCTTTTCTATCCTCCTCTTCTCTCTCTCTCTCTCTCTCGCTCTCTCTCTCTCTCTTCATCCCTTTTTCTCTCACTTCTCTCCCTTTCTCTCCTATCTTTCTCCTATACTTTATTTTCATTTTCATTTCCTTTTTTATCGACGTTTTTCTTTAGATAAAACTACAACAATATGATATTTTTCGGGTTTGTTTATCATTTTTCTCTCACCTCTCACTCTCCTCCCTCACAGTCTTCGCCTTCGGCAGTAGTTACCTGGTGCTCTTCATCGCCCGCGCCGTACAGGGTATTGGCTCCTCCTGCTCTTCCGTGTCTGGTAAGTGACAAGTGTAAACCAAAAAAAGTTGTAAATAAGTTGTAAATAAATAAATTTTCTCGATATCAAGATCTCTGTAAATCACATTGAAAAATCACCTTGTAAATTCTATTGTAAATCACCTTGTAAATTCTATTGTAAATCAACTTGTAAATCCTACTGTAAATCACCTTGAAAAATCACCTTGTAAATTCTATTGTAAATCAACTTGTAAATCCTACTGTAAATCACCTTGAAAAATCACCTTGTAAATTCTATTGTAAATCAACTTGTAAAACATCTTGAAGAAAAACCCACTTTGTAATTCACTTTGTAACTCCTCCTACAGGTATGGGCATGTTAGCTGAGCGTTATCCTGACGACAAGGAGCGAGGGAACGCCATGGGGATCGCTCTAGGAGGTCTTGCCCTTGGCGTGCTCATTGGTCCGCCCTTTGGAGGAGTCATGTTCCAATTTGTGGGCAAGACGGCGCCCTTCTTAATCCTGGCTGTCCTGGCCTTGGGTGACGGATGTGAGTGTTGCGTGTGTGTGTGTGTGTGTGAGTGTTGCGTGTGTGTGTGTGTGTGTGTGTGTGTGTGTGTATTTCTGGGTAGTCTAATGGGTTCCAGTTCGAATAGGTTCTCTTTCTAATAGATCCCAGTTCTAATAGGCCCTCTTCCCCTCCCTTTGGTCCTATATAAGAGTACTAGCTGTAATAGGTCCTCTTTTTAATAGGTATGAGGTTAGGTTAGGTTAGGTTAGGTTAGGTTAGGTTAGGTTAATCTTAAACTGGAGGGATTAAGCTTCAGGTAATCCTAATAAATCCAATGTAGTTTAACGTAAGCTTGTCACTGTGAGTAAACCAACAGCTTTAATCCACTTTGGTGTACACTCCTCACAGTGCTTCAGCTGCTGGTGTTGCAACCTGCCGTGATGAAGCAAGAGGAAGAAGCACCAACCCTGGGAGAACTAGTGAGCGACCCTTACATCGTCATCGCTGCCGGTAAGAGTCACCATAGATCAATCCACTGTGTTTATGAATGTTGGTGTGTGTGTGAAGGAGTGGACAGCATATGGCGTCCCGTGGTCGTCTCTGAGGGGGCGTGGGGGGTGACCATGGTGTTTGGGGGGCCTTTGTTATGGAAGATGAAGACCTCGGAAGTAAGAATGTTTTAGCAGTAGTGAGAAAGAATAAATAATGGTGTGTGTGAGAGAGAGAGAGAGAGAGAGAGAGAGAGAGAGAGAGAGAGAGTTATATAAGGAAAAAGCTTTGACGAGTTACGAAATCACCATATCACCACCACCTTCCCTCACCACCACCACCACCATCTTCACCACCACTACTATCACCACCACCACCACCATCTTCACCACCACTACTATCACCACCACCACTACTATCACCACCACCACACCATCTACCATCACCACCACCACCATCTTCACCACCACTACTATCACCACCACCACCACCATCTTCACCACCACTACTATCACCACCACCACTACTATCACCACCACCACACCTTCCCACAGGAGCCATCACCTTCGCTAACATGGGTATCGGAATGCTTGAACCATCTCTACCCCTCTGGATGATGGATACTATGGGAGCTCCTGAGTGGCAGCTGGGGGCCGCCTTCCTTCCTGCCTCCATCTCTTATCTGATCGGCACCAACCTCTTCGGTCCACTCGGTCACCTGATGGGCCGATGGCTAGCCGCCCTGATCGGCCTTTTTATCATCGGCATCTGTCTTATGTTTGTGAGTTACCTGACCCTAATTGTGAATCTGATTGTTATTATGATTCCATATATATTTTTTTCTGTGCCAATCACTAACATCCACCGCCCCCTACCACCACTACCACCACCAACCACCATCCACCACCATCAACCACCATCAACCACCATCACTAACAACCCCCTCCACCCCCTCAGATCCCCAGCGCCACCACCATCCACCACCATCCACCACCATCAACCACCATCAACCACCATCACTAACAACCCCCTCCACCCCCTCAGATCCCCAGCGCCACCACCATCCACCACCATCACTAACAACCCTCCACCTCCTCAGATCCCCAGCGCCACCACCATCAACCACCATCACTAACAACCCCCTCCACCCCCTCAGATCCCCAGCGCCACCACCATCAACCACCATCACTAACAACCCCCTCCACCCCCTCAGATCCCCAGCGCCACCACCATCAACCACCATCATAACAACCCCTCCACCCTCAGATCCCCAGCGCCACCACCATCAACCACCACCACTAACAACCCTTCCACCCCCTCAGATCCCCAGCGCCACCACCATCAACCACCTGATCGCCCCCAACGCTGGTCTAGGATTCGCTATCGGTATGGTGGACTCGTCAATGATGCCTGAACTGGCTACCTAGTAGATCTCCGTCACTCGGCTGTCTATGGCTCTGTCTATTCTATCGGTGACGTCGCCTTCTGTCTCGGCTTTGCTATCGGTAAGTAAGTTCCAGTCGGGCTCAGTTTCCTCTTCTGTGAGCTCTTCTTTGCGTCAGCTAGCTCAATGGCCATTAAACTTAACTAAGTGGTTGATGGTGTGTCAGTGAATAATATGGATATGTGTATTGGAAGTATGTGTCTAGTGGAGGGCTAGGAGAGAGAGAGAGAGAGAGAGAGAGAGAGAGAGAGAGAGAGAGAGAGAGAGAGAGAGAGAGAGAGAGAGAGAGAGAGCGACTTTGTTTATAGTCTGGTGCACATCAACTGGACATCATGATTTTATATAACGAATTAAAATTATCTAGAAAAAATAAATAAATATAACCCAGAGAACTAACCATTATCTCCCCCCCCCCCACCTTCCACACACACACACACACACGTACAAACACACACACACACACACACATACAGGCCCCGCACTCTCAGGCACATTGGTTCAGGCAGTCGGCTTCAACTGGATGCTGTACGGGATTGCTATCATTAACTTCCTATATGCCCCGTTCATGTACTGCCTTAAATCACCTCCGGCCAAGAACGCTGAACGTCAGGTGAGTCTTGGCTCATCTACCTTGGGTGTTTGTGGTTAAGTGATAGATGAACAACTTGTACTGCTGGATTGTTGTGTGTTAACTGATTGTTTTTTTTGTTACTTGAAGTTGAAGTGTGAGGTCGGTGTTGACTGACTGACTGACTGGCACTGACTGACTGACAAATATGTTCCATGTATAGGACCTGGATATAATTGGTGTGGTGTTCTAATGTCTATTCCTACCTGTAATTATCCCTCTGTTCGCCTTATTAACAGTGTGTTTCTCCCTCCTAGAATCTGATCTACGGCGAGAAATCTTCAGTTCGCTACGTGACTTATAAAAATGAAGATGAGGAGGAAAACTGACCCCAAATGAGCACTTTTCGCCAGAGTGGAGGAAGCCCTGAGCCGTCACAGAAAACGGGAGATATTTCCACGGCGGCGAGAAGTAATCCCTTTAGAGATACAACATTATGTGAGTGATGGTAACCTGTGAGATAGATAGAGAGATATAAATTATGTGAGTGAGGAGAGTGGTTTTACGTGAGGCAGTCAGTGTTTAGTCGTCTACCAGAATTAGCCCTGAGACGCGTGGACAGTCGATGATTGCTGGATGAACTGAAGAAAAAAAACGCATCTGCCTAGTGATATATGGGCTCAGGGCGATGACGTATTATTTTTTGAAGGAGTAAGGAAGAAGGATCTCAGACTACAGGACCAACGGAGACTCTCAGGGCGGTGAAGGGATCAAAGAGTCACTAACCACCTGCACGTAGATGCCGAAAGCGTTCTCTGGTTGGCCGAGTCAGTTGCTCTTTAGAATGATAAGTATAAATCCAATTCATATAACTTTTTAAAAGAATTATATATTCCAAGTTGAGACTGCGGGCTTACAGGAGTTACGACGGCGTCCAGATATTTTACATGTTTGAAGAATGGCGAGAGGCAACAACATAATGTGACGCAGGAAGATGTTGGAGTGTGGATGTTGTATGTGAGGGATGTAGGTGGCTGTGTGGCGGAGCAACATCAGCTACAGTGGCGGGGAGCAGCGACGCCACCGATTGGCTGGTGGTGTAAGACAATGCCACACAGATTCAACCTAACCTAAACGAGAAATACAGCCTGACCTCTGTGCCACACGCTGGTCTAAGTATGACCCTCACACTGAGCGTCTAAAGTGCAGATTTTGGTCAGACTTTCTTTATGAATACGGCGGGAGTGAGGGCTGGCTACTGCTCTGGCCACCCCCCCCGACCTGCCGACACCCGACTCTACTATACTATACTATATTGTACTAACATAGGCACCTTCAACACATCTTTTCTCAATCGTGATTCTTGTGTATGTAAGTGAGAAGCATAATTGTACCAAAGAAAAAAAATCCGACACAATGATAAGTTTATTTTTATGTAACTTAAAACAACGACAAGAAACACATTTTGCTGTACAGTATATAGAAAAAAACAAATATATCTCGTACCTTGAGGCAGGGTACACACGCCCACGCCCACGCCCACGCCCACGCCCACACCTGTTAACCCTATGCCCAGGTTGGTCTGGGCACAATCTCGATAATGACATAACCTCCTTCCCGGTGAGACATATTCACAACATAAACAGTGCGTTGCATTTCCCGTTCGCATAGGATCAATCCGGATTTCTAAATTTTGGTGATCGAAGAACGTAAACAATACCAATAAATGATGCAAATAACCATTCTAAAATAATATAACGTAATAATGATGACGATGGTGATAATGGTGATCAAATGATAATGAAAAAAACTCACTAATTCATTTAATGATAATAATAACAATTGTTAGATATTAAAGTGAATGTCTTCCATGTGTGTAGTTAAGAGAGGGGGAGAGGGGGGAGAGGGGAAGAGAGGGGGAGGTTACAAGTGTGTTTGTTGGTGAGGTGGGGGAGGGTGTGGTGGTGAGGGGGGAGTGTTGGGGTGGTAGAGGGGGTGACTGGTCTGTACACACACACGGCCACACCATCGGCCACATCTGGGAAGCACTCTGTACAGACCAGATCACCTCTACTAGAACCCTACACTATCTTCCTCCTTCCCTCCCTCCCTTCCACACCTCATTCTTGACCACACTGTACCCCTCCCTCCCTCCCCCCCTCCCTCCCTCCCTCCACCACTGTCCACCACTGTACACATCATCTCCAACACTGTACACCATCTCCAACACTGTACACCACACCACCATCTCCAACACTGTACACCATCTCCAACACTGTACACCATCTCCAACACTGTACACCATCTCCACCACACTGTACACCATCTCCACCACTGTACACCATCTCCAACACTGTACACCACTCACTCACACCATCTCCACACTGTACACTATCTCCACCACTGTACACCATCTCCACCACTGTACACCACCATCTCCACCACTGTACACCATCTCCACCACTGTACACCATCTCCACCACTGTCCACACACTGCACATCTCCACCACTGTACACCATCTCCACCACTGTACACCATCTCCACCACTGTCTCCAACACACTGTACACACATCTCCACCACTGTACACCATCTCCACCACTGCACACCATCTCCACAACTGTACACCATCTCCACCACTGTACACCATCTCCACAACTGTACACTATCTCCACCACTGTACACCATCTCCACCACTGTACACCATCTCCACCACTGTACACCATCTCCACCACTGTACACCATCTCCACCACTGTACACCATCTCCACCACTGTACACCATCTCCACCACTGTACACCATCTCCACCACTGTACACCATCTCCAACACTGTACATCATCTCCAACACTATCACTAGCACTTTACAATTCCGCTAGCCTCTATGCACAATTCTTCTCGCCAGCACAATGCACAGGTAAGATTTTCTCTCTCCACGCATGTATAGCAATCAGCCCACAGCTTAATAAATGCACACTCAAACACCTCCTTTTCTATGCATGCACAAGACACAGTGCACACACAAACACCCTCATTCATGTACACCCGTCGGCCTTTAACCTGAGTATTGCACAAGTAAACACCTCCTCGCATATGCACAGGACACACTGCACAAATAAAGCCTTCACGCATGTACATGACTCCACATATCGTGCACAAGTAGTTCTTTCTAGTTCTGCCATTGCACAACACTAGTCAATTCACAGTAAGTAGATGCACAGCTCTTTTGAATGGTTAGCTTAAGGAAATTGCACAGTATTATTGAAAGCACAACAATTTTAAATGTACAACACTGGTCATCACACAGTCCTACTAAATGCACAGCACTATTCCGTGTACAAAATTAGTCATTGCACATGAGTCAATATCCAACGCTAGTGAATGCACAGCACTATACAATGCATGAAACTAGTGAATGCATAACACAATTCAATGCACAAAAATAGTAAGTGAAAAATACTAGTGAACGCACAACACTAGTGAGTGCACAACACTCTTCAATGCACAACACCAGTGAATACACAAAACTAATGAATGCACCATCATGACAATGTCACCAACACCATCATACACCATCGATACAGTGTTACCAATAGCTCAATGCACCATGCCAACAGTGCTACCAATACACTAACACTAGAATGTTCTGGAACCAATATAAACCAAAAGTTTTATAAACATGAAAGGTTCGGGAAATGCAATTACAAAAAAGCACTTAACATCATCACCATGGTGGGGAAGCACTTAACACTATCACCATAGTAGGGAAGCACTTAACACCATCACCATGGTAGGGAAGCACTTAACACCATCACCATGGTAGGGAAGCACTTAACACCATCACCATGGTAGGGAAGCTCTTAACACTATCACCATGGTAGGGAAGCACTTAACATCATCACCATGGTAGGGAAGCACTTAACACCATCACCATGGTAAGGAAGCTCTTAACATCATCACCATGGTGGGGAAGCACTTAACACCATCACCATGGTAGGGAAACACTTAACATCATCACCATGGTGGGAAGCACTTCAACACCATCACTCATGGTAGGGAAGCACTTAACATCATCACCATGGTGGGGAAGCACTTAGCACCATCACCATGGTAGGGAAGCACTTAACATCATCACCATGGTAGGGAAGCACTTAACATCATCACCATGGTGGGGAAGCACTTAGCACCATCACCATGGTAGGGAAGCACTTAACATCATCACCATGGTAGGGAAGCACTTAACATCATCACCATGGTGGGGAAGCACTTAGCACCATCACCATGGTAGGGAAGCACTTAACATCATCACCATGGTAGGGAAGCACTTAACATCATCACCATGGTGGGGAAGCACTTAGCACCATCACCATGGTAGGGAAGCACTTAACATCATCACCATGGTAGGGAAGCACTTAACATCATCACCATGGTGGGGAAGCATTTGAAGTGGTAGGGAAGCACTTAACACATCACCATGGTAGGGAAGCACTTTAACATCATCACCATAGGGAAGACTTAACACCATCACCATGGTGGGGAAGCACCAATTCATCACCATGGTAGGGAAGCACTTAACACCATCACCATGGTGGGAAGATGGTAGCAGTTGATTCTAACACCTCATCACCATGGTAGGGAAGAATTTACCATCATCACCATGGTGGGGAAGCACTTAACATCATCACCTTATGGTAGGGAAGCACTTAACATCACCATGGTAGGAAGCTATCATCATCACCATGGTAGGGAAGGCTACCAACACTATCACCATGGTGGGGACGTGCACTAACACTACCTCATGGTAGGGAAGCACTTAACATCATCACCATGGTAGGGAAGCACTTAACATCATCACTATGGTAGGTAAGCACTTAACATAATCACCATGGTGGGGAAGCACTTAACATCAACACCATGGTAGGGAAGCACTTAACATCATCACCATGGTAGGGAAGCACTTAACATCAACACCATGGTGGGGAAGCACTTAACATCAACACCATGGTGGGGAAGCACTTAACATCATCACCATGGTAGGGAAGCACTTAACATCATCACCATGGTAGGGAAGCACTTAACATCAACACCATGGTAGGGAAGCACTTAACATCATCAATTACGGTGGGGAAGCACTTAACACCATCACCATGGTAAGGAAGCATTTAATATCATCACCATGGTAGGAAGCACCAACACCATCACCATGGTAGGGAAGCACTTAACACCATCACCATGGTAAGGAAGCACTTAACATCATCACCATGGTAGGGAAGCACTTAACATCATCACCATGGTGAGGAAGCACTTAACACCGTCACCATGGTGGGGAAGCACTTAACACCATCACCATGGTAGGGAAGCACTTAACACCATCACCATGGTAAGGAAGCACTTAACACCATCACCATGGTAGGGAAGCACTTAACATCATCACCATGGTAGGGAAGCACTTAACACCATCACCATGGTAAGGAAGCATTTACCATTATCACCATGGTAGGGAAGCACTTAACACCATCACCATGGTAGGGAAGCACTTAACACCATCACCATGGTAGAGAAGCACTTAACATCATCACCATGGTAGTGAAGCACTTAACATCATCACCATGGTAGGGAAGCACTTAACATCATCACCATGGTAGGGAAGCACTAACATCGCCATGGTAGGAAGCACTTAACACCATCACCATGGTAGGGAAGCACTTAACATCATCACCATGGTAGGGAAGCACTTAACACCATCACCATGGTAGGGAAGCACTTAACACCATCACCATGGTAGGGAAGCACTTAACACCATCACCATGGTAGGGAAGCACTTAACATCATCACCATGGTAGGGAAGCACTTAACACCATCACCATGGTAGGGAAGCACTTAACATCATCACCATGGTAAGAAATAATTATGGAATGTCAAATATATTTGCTATTAATCTGTTACTCTGAAGGCACTTACTTACTCGAGTGTGATCCGCTGCTTACCCTCTAAGTCTGTCTATCACTTGAGGTCAGTTTGGTCACGTCGTGTTCAGTATTGACTCTCCCCATAAGGGCCTTGAGCTTATGCTGTGAAACATCATTGAAAAGTGCATAATTAAGACCTAAAATACGCTTCAATATTATGTTATAAAAAATGATTAATTAATTAGATTTCTGTTGATTTTTTGGGGCTCCTTTTCCTTATAGTGACGTAAGTGAAGCGTTGTTCACATCTGCTTGACGTCGAGTGTTGTGTGTTTGCGGATGAAGCCGTATGCTCTCTTAAAAACGGCGATATCTTCGTTTCGTTTAAGACGTGGTTGTTATTATGGCACTAACGTGGTCAAGTTACAATCTGACGTCATCAGAAAGTTAGTGGAATGATGCATCTGGCTTGTGTGCCTGACGCTGGCTCTGTTAGGATATCAGATTTCGTGGCGTAGTCGAAAAACTGAACAAGTGAGGATGACGATGTGTAGCGTGACACTGAAATTATATCTTAAACTACTGCATGTGTAAGGTCCCATTATAGACCTGGCCAAATTATAAAAAGATCATCCATGTCCAGTGTGAATGGCTGCACACTGTACATTGGTTCCAGTAATATTTGTGGTTTTTTAACTTCACCTGATTCCTAGAAAGTGTCATCGCTAGCGCTCTGCCCTCACTAGATGCTGTCGACACCCAGAGCGCGTAGGATGAGAGGAGAGTTTGTCATATAATCAACAAAGATTATGAGCTTGTATTCTAGCTTTCTGGCGAGTTTGTGGGATTTTCTTGTCTGAATCACAACGATCAGATTGTGACTGACCAACGTTTATCGCGTATCATCACAAGAAGGTGGAAAGTTGTCGCCGGGAAGATGCAACGACGTCAAGCTGTGCGTGTACCCACCATCCTGTCCCGCAGAAGAATGTCGGAGCGTCCAGGCGTAACGTGTGAACTGTGGACGTACTGATCCCTAGTGTTCTGAACTATTATCTTAAGTAAGCGTTGTGGTACATCGGTGTATCTTAGCTGCTGCTGGGATGATTGTGTCCGTCACTGGTAGCGTGTACTGTAGTCAGGCAGATAATGGGTGTTGTTGTTGAACTTGTGTTGCTCTGTGTCACTGAGTCTTCCTCTGTGTGTGTGCTTGTTGTGTGTCTACCAGCTGATGGAAACAATGCTTCGTCAAGTGTAAACAATGGATGCAAGAAGTTTATTTCTTGAGTTTGGTTTAAATTCAATGAGTTTTAGACTTTTCTAAGACAGAGAGAGCAATTCGACTTAGTTTAGAACACGATAGAGAACGTGATGAAGAAGTAATGAAGATCTTACTGTAGGGAGACCGCGGTGTGTGTGTGTCAAGGTCCCATCAGAGACTTTCTCGCGCCAAACACTGACAGAACTAGTCATGGTACTCTCCGGACACAGGAAATAAAACAAAAGAATGTTGATTTTATACAATGTGTTGGACTGAACCTCTTCATAATGTCTCAAATATCTAATATGATGTTAATAATTTTCAGAAAAGTTATCAATAATGAATGAGAATGGGATTAGAAATATCTTTGACTAAGTTGAACGAGCGATGATAAAATCTTTTACTCTATTTCCAAATAATTGTAAGAGTCATGTTGAATTTAGTCTGATCAGGTTCTTTCAGAAGAGTACGAGTGTCTTGTCTTGGTGTGAAGGGATTCAGGATATATTATGCTATTGTGATGCTCCATGACCTTGTGACCTCAAGTGAAACGGACTACCTTTACTCTGTAAAACCTGTAAGCTATATCTGATGACAAATTACTGTAAGATCTTGAATGATTTGTAAACAGGAAACACTCTTAAGTTCCTTCCTGTCTAAACTCCACTAAACATTAAACACTAGCGACAAGTACTCCAACAAAACTGACTATTGACTGTTTAAGACGTGTCAGTTTAGTGAAGGACTCTCGCGTGTGTGTATTTGATGACCGATAGAGACGCCCTACACATCTACTTGAGTCACACCTCTACTTACTGCGACATCCCACTCGTTTTCTTTAATGAGTGGTCTCCAATGGACGCGAGACCTAGCCAAACCGTGAAGACAACAAATTAACCAGCCAGACTCCAGGCGGGAGTTGACTGCATCAATGTTGTATTTGCTGTGATGAAGAAAAAAATGTAACATGTATCTAACCTTAGTAAATGGATGCAATGTTTCCAGTTGTTTTATTTTACCTGTTGAGAGTGTGTGTATACAGTGGCGGCTCGTGAAAAATAAAATGGAGGGACTGCAAGCCTCACACAACAGTAGGTGACCTACCTCAGGTATGAGTTGTAGTTGATGTCCACTAATTCCCAGGGCATGGTAGTAGTGTTGGTGGTGATGGACCAGTATTAATTGACAATAAAGTCGGCGTGTCTGCTCTTCGATGTAGCAAAATTGTTTATTACTATTTCATTAAAATCCTTTATTTCTGTTATCATTTTATTTTCAATGGATATCACTGCTAAAGCAGACAGTCTGTCATTCACCATGGTACTGCGCAAAAAAGTTTTAATTCTCTTCAAAGTTGAAAAGCACCTTTCTGCTTCTGCCGTTGTCATTAAAATTTTCAGCAACTTGACAGTGTCTGAAAATGTTGACTGTAGATTATTGTCATTCATCATCTCCAACAAGTCTATGAGACTTTCTGATTTACACAAATCTTCTCTTGTGTACAGTACAGTAAGTTCAGTTCTCAATTTGTCTTTTTCAAGCATGGGATAAGGTAATTAAAGAAAGCACGATTTAACCACACCGTCCACACGTTGTACGAGACTGAGCTGCTTCAAGTGAGGCGGCGGCGGCGCCAATTAATAACAGACATGAATCTTACAGCATTGACAGCAACTATGAAAGTAACTTAAATTTTGGTCTGATTTTAATGAAAATTCACTTAGCAACGTATTGAAAATAATTAAATAACATATAAAATGATATATTTGTTGGTAGTGTATTATTCAGCTGTCTCTCTAAAGGAATCATACGCCTGGCAGTGAGTGTCTGGGGGGACTGCAGCCCTGTGCACGAGCCGCCACTGTGTGTATGGGTCCTGCAACTTTAAACCCCTAATTTTGAGAGCCATAAACACACTATCCTTACATTAATGTTATCGTTATAAATCTGAATCACTGACATCGCCCCATAAGCAGTACACACACAATACTATTCCTAACTTAGTGCCATAATCGGGGGTTCCATTAAATACAAAAATATCTTATGCTTGTATGATCTATTTTATAACTCAAAAGTTCCCACATCAATTTAGTGAATTACTTCAAACTTGGAAGTGAATCGGCTGCTTGTGCAATTAACCAGGCCGTTCTCATATATTCATTATTTAGGTTTTAAGTAACGAAACCCAAACGGTAGTTCCTTGTTTTATTATAAAAGGTTGTATATATAATTCCTGAGTGTTGGTCGACCGTAAGTCTCACTGTCTAGGAGTGAATGAGAAGGGGACGGCGTTTATGTATTATAAACGTTAGGTCACGTCCTTACGATATAAGTTGTTGTGAGTGAGGGCCTCGCTGTGCGGGCTTACAGAAATGCTGACTATGGGACTCTTCCTCTTCCGCTCACGTGTCAATCTCATGTCTTACTCATAGACAGTGGAAAGTTACAGGGTGGTGAATCTGAATATAATATCAGATGTATTGACCCATTTATATAATATGTTCTGTTGATAAGACAGGGGCCTATTACAGAAGGTTAAAGGAAAAAGAAAATCAGCTTAAATATTTATATAAGAAATTCTTTACCTAAGCTATAATGAATCTATTGAAGAAAATAAAAACAATGACAAGGCTGAATAACTACATCTGGGTTAAAAACTTATGAACATCGGTGTACAGTGAGTGACTAAACTATCTTCCATTTCTGTCTGATGATTTATTTTTTAAAGCTGGCTAAACCTAATGAAATATTCACCTCAACTACATATAAACAATTGGTATGCTTAACTGGGTAACATGATTCATCTAATCAGTTTTATCGTTCACTGTACTGTACACAGTCGTCGAATTAAACGTCATTTACGTCACGGACAGGAAGACAAACGCACGGAAGCCTGAGGCAGTGACGTGGAAGATACGAGTCTGTTTACACTGGCGACGTCACTGGTCACTATATCTAACAGTAGAGCGAAAGGATGATCACAAACACTACCCCTTGCGCCACAAAGACCACCAAGTACTGTGATATAGTACTCAGAAATTAAAAAAAAAATCCTGGGCTGGTGCCTTGTAATGTGTTTCAATCACCAGGACCCACTAGAGGTGTTCTGAGCTGGTGACTTGTGGGTTGTTGGCTCCCCGTCGACTCTCGGGTAGTAAGGTGGTGTACGGGTAGGTTCTGGGGAGCCTTGCCTCTATTCTGGTACCCTGAAAACGGCAACGATTCACCTGTTAATAATTATTTAACTTATGGGACCATATCACTGACCATATTTCATCTGTACTAGTTTAGTTCATTCACATACTCACTCAATGAAGATATTTAACTCCCACTGTTGTATGGGAGAAAAAGCCAAGTCATGTTACTGTCGCCCGTTTGCTACACACACACACACACACACACACACCCACACACATCTAAGATTTCCTTAGTTCACCCCAACCTTATCGCTCAATCTCCAACAGGTGATAAAAAATTCGTACAAGTAATGGTTCAGTGAACAAGGTAACAGAGGGAGTGTAGTACCTGGCTAGCGTTGGTGGCGGTGGTGTAAAACGGTGACGGTGAGGGCTTGACACACCTCCTTCCCCCTTCGGCTGCTTCTCTTCTCCTGTTCATTTCCTCGTTTCTGCTTTTATTCTGAAACAAAACACCATCAAGTATTAAAACAAATCAATATAAATACCACAACCAGCATCTGAACGTGGTAATATTGTTACATATAGGTTGGTATGTTTATTATCATACAGAGTGAAGAGATGTTAAAAAATTTAGTTGTACCAGGTCCCCCCCCAAAACACAAAGAAAAGCTTAAAAAATCGAGGATCTCTAGACAACTGAATATGGTCATAACTCTTCAAAATAAAGTATAACAAAATTCAATTTGTTTTGGTCCCCACCCGAGGAAAATTTTCATAGGTATCCAGTACACTTAACCCAACCAATTATACCCCCGCCACGTCACAACAGAGTCCAAGGGATAACAAAAAAACCCCCACTAACATCACAAAATACCGATTATCGAGCGCACAGACACACACACACAGATACAACAACAAACTACAACTTACTATGGTGACTTTGATGGTTGGGATGAGCATCAACAGACCGACCAGCCAGGGAAGAATATACTCATGAAGGAGAGTGTAGAGAAACACATCCACCCACTTGTACCTAGCCCACCTCTGATTACCCAGTCCAGCTTCACTATACTCCTCCATCGCGTCCATTGCCGAGGGATGTAACTCTATACACCTGTTAGCTAGCTGGTAAGTGAGTAGACTGGTTGAGCACGCATACGTCTCGCTCGCTGACTTACCAGATTATTATTTTTAATTTAAATTTTTTTATTATATATTTTTTATTTTTTGTTGCTCTTGATGAAGGTGAGACGTGTTGGTGTCTTAGTGAGGTGGGATTTAGTTTATGTTGAGTCAGGTGTCGTGTGTGTGTGCGTGTGCGTATGTGTGTGTGTGTGTGTGTGTGTAATAATAATAATAATAATAATTAACGGTTTATTGAAAGAGCTTGGCAGCCAGAAGGCTGAAAATATACAGTTACATATTTGGGGAATGGGTTACGAATTACAAATAATATACAAGTAACATAAGTGATACAAATAAGACATATAGTAACTTAGATGGGGATCAGCTCAAACTACAGTTCATTTCAACATAGTGACAGTGTAGGGAGCAGTGTTTACTGGGAGTGAATACACTGATTTATTACATGTTATTGATAATTTTTACAATGGTTGGGACTGGGCTGTTCTTATAGCGATCAGTTCGTGCACGTATGGGTTGGATGCGGTTGTGGTGTCGAACAGCAATTCTCGGACAGGGGATCTCAGGTGGTAGTAGGGGCCGGTGTCGGGGATGGTGTAGAAGCTTCTTACCAAATTTGCAGATGAGGCCGTGGTGATGTGTGTGTGTGTGTGATGTGTGTGTGTGTGTGTGTGTGTGTGTGCGTGTGTGTGTGTGTGTGTGTGTGTGTGTGTGTGTGTGTGTGTGTGTGTGTGTGTGTGTGTGCGTGCAACGAATGTGAACGACTCTGCCGGTCCCGTATCGGCCTCTTTAGTCACCTCAGAACTCACTAACCTAGGTGACATCCCTATTAACTCATATTATTGTATCATAGCTGGATGATCGTCATACTCGATTCCGAGTGACAAAAAAGTAGTAGTAGTAGTATGTAATAATAATAATAATAATAATAATAATAATAATAATAATAATAATAATAATAATAACAATAATAATTAACGGTTTATTGAAAGAGCATGGCAGCCAGAATGCTGAAAATATACAGCTGTATAATTGGGGAATGGGTCTCTTGATTTACAAATAATATACAAGTAACATAAGTGATACAAATATGATATATAATAACTAGGTTGGGAGAAGCTCAAACTACAGGGCATTTCAACATAGTGACAGTGCAAAAAGTAAGATTGATTGGGAGTAAATACACTGGTTGATTACAAAGTTATTGATAATTTTTACATTGGTTGGGACTGGGCTGTTCTTATAGCGATCAGTTCGTGCTCGTATGGACTGGATGCGGTTGTGGTGTCGAACAGCAATTCTCGGGCGAGGGATCTCAGGTGGTAGTAGGAGCCGGTGTCGAGGATGGTGCAGAAACTTCTCACCAAATTTGCAGATGAGGTTGTGGTGATGGTCAGTGAGAGCCGAGAGGGTCAGTGTGTTGAGCGCTTCTAGAACTGTGGAGTAGGAAGGGGAGAGAATAATCTTGTATGCCCATCTTTTGCACTTTTTCTAGGTGTTTACGTTGTGTGGCATTTAGGGAGGAAGACCAGGTAGGGGAGTCATAGGTGAGCTTGGGAAGTATGGTTGTTGAGTAAACACTGAGGAGCTCGGGTGCAGGAACTCCGAGGGACTTGAATCGGCGGAGGAGGTGGAGACGGAAACTGGAGGATTTGACAACTTCACTGACGTGTGGTTTCCAATTTAGTTTGTTGTCTATGGTGACGCCGAGGAGCTTAGTAGAATCTACAACCTGGAGTGTGTTGGGACCTAAAGTAATGGAAGAGGGTGGGACAACGTCGGAGGAGAGGTTGATGTGCAATGTTGTGCATAACCATGGTCTTAGTATGGTTGATGGTGACGTGGTTGTTGGTGGCTCAGTTTTGGAGACTGTTCAATAAAAAATGAAGGGCGGTATAGTCGGGAGCAGAATTGTTGACGCTGATCCTAATGGTGGAGTCGTCGACATATTTCCAGCGAGCAGGGCATCATTGCGAAGCATAAGGAAGCATAGTGGTCCCATCTTGGTGCCTTGGGGGACGCCACAGGTGAGTGACTGTCTGTGTGTGTGTGTGTGTGTGTGTGTGTGTGTGTGTGTGTGTGTGTGTTTATATGTGCACTGTGCTGTATGTGTATATGTCTGAGTACTGTATCTACCAGCAGATGTGTGTATATGTAATTGTATACACACACACTCCTGACACGATACTCCCTCGACCAGGTGTTATATATCACTAAACATAATACCCGAGAGACAGATACTCAGAAAGAGATGGTCACATGTACTGACGTCAGTGTTTTACTTTTCTATGAGTTGAAAAGAGAAGCTTAATTTCTTCGTTATCTTCATCGGTGGCATAACTTAAGTCAGCTAAATCGATGCCTTGTCACGCCACCACAAGTAAGTTGGAAGATATTAGATATGAACACTTTGATAATCCAGCTAAATCACTATTATTTCACATACAAGCTACAAGAACGTACTAGGATACTCTTCTGACACACATTATAGATAGATCGCTTCGTAACCGACCCCATCAACACTCATTCAATAACTATACACAGAGATTATACTGTATAAATATGGCATTTATATAACTGCTCCGCCACTTTTGATGTTGATGACTTGAGAGCTTGATCATCCTGGGTACTCAAGTTATGTTCATAAAAAAATATAAAAAAAATAGATAAATATCAAGAATTAGAACTGTGGCAGTAGTTTCCTTTTTAGTGTAAATAGTTATTTTTTGTAATTACTGTGTAAGTAATTTGTACATCTCATCTACTGTAGGGATAATTATCTGGTTAAGTATTAATACTCAACGGACTTTAATACTAAATAGGAGTCACATTTTGTTATCGTTTTTATAACTTCATTGGATATACACACGATCACCGAAAATGAATCCCCAAATTCTAATATGTAGCCATTTAAAGTCGGTACTACACTCTTTTTTGATAACTATTTCCCAAACCATCGTGAATTTGCTAAGAGTCGCCTTAATTAAAGGTTTACAATTCATCATTGTACTTTTGATTTCGTAACCACCACGAACTCCTGAAATTATTCCGTATAGTACTATTTTTATTAAATTTTTCCTTTAACCTCCCCGGCCTCGCCAGTCACCACTATGCTACTTGGGCGATCAGTCAGTCAGTCACGCCTCCGTTACGCACTACTGTACTGGCAAATGTGATTAATCATGTAATCGGTTTATCACCAAGTAGTCAGGTGCCACAAGGAAAGTTTTCCAGAGTGAGGTAATTTTTACTTTTTTTTTATTCTCTTCACCACTGATCGGCTCGTTAGCCGCTTGGGCGATCGGTCACGTCTCTGATTACTTTCCCTTTTCTTTTATCCTCTTCACCAAAAGATCGGCTCGTTAGCTGCTTGGGCGATCGGTCACGTCTCACAGTTTTCTGGATTTGCGGCTTCTTCAATCTTGAGCTGTGACCCCTTGTGAGGCGAGCGTCCGCCAGCTCCAAGTAAGGACACTTGACTGAGTAGTGCCCCTTGAGATGCTTATACACCTCAATTAGGTCGCCCCTTGCCCGTCTGTGGTATAAGCTAGGCAAGTTCAGGCGCTCCAATCTCTCAGGTGATAAGTGGCACTGAGTGTGAGCTCTTTCAAGACCAGACTTGCCCAACACTGGAGCAGGTTAAGGTACATTGAGGAACTGGTGCATGCCCAGTACTTGACAACAGTGCGTAACAGAGACGTGACCGATCGCCCAAGCGGCTAACGAGCCGATCAGTGGTGAAGAGGATAAATGAAAAAGAAAAGTAACAGAGACGTGACCGTGTAGTGGATTCCTCCCCTACAAGCACCGAACCTTCTCGAATTCCCCAGCCTACGCCTCCAGCGCCGCCCACGGAGCGGGGGTCAACTACTGTATCTACCCACGCCTACCCCCGCCTTATAAGGCCTGACACCTCTGTGACCTCCTGCCCCAATATACACATATACACATAAAACATTAATAGAGAAAATAAAAGATGAGAGTGACCTACTAGCTCCACTAAGAACCTGGCAGGCCTCTCCATACAGTGTACCTTTAGACTAACACAACTAACTTTTTTTTACTTTTATCCTCTTCGCCACTGATCGGCTTGTTAGCCGCTTGGGCGATCGGTCACGTCTCTTTTCCTTTATATTCTTCACCAAAAGGTCGGCTCGCTAGCCGCCCGGGCGATCGGTCACGTCTCTGTCACGCACTGTTGGCAAATACTGGGCATGCACCGGCTCCTGAATGTACCTGAACCCGCTCCAGTGTTGGTCAAGTCTTCTCTTGAAAGAGCTCACACTCGGTGCCGTCACAACACTCTCTGGTAGATTGTTCCAAGAGTTTACAACCCTCACTCCGAAAAAGTTTGCCCTCACGGTTTTCCGGACTTGCGGCTTCTTCAATCTTGAGCTTAACTAACACCTTAGGAAAAAATGTGACTACCCTCCCAGTTACACAAGGACCTGGGCGGGCTCACTAACTTCAACAATAAATAAAAATAATAATAATAAGCAGCACTATATAAATAAACCAATATTAATACAAAGGTCTGACGACCCAAGGGAGCAGAACAAAGATAAAACACCAATAGGAAAGCGATCTGGTTGAGCCCAGATTCTTTCTACTCCTACTGTATTTCAGTTTCACCACTTTTCCTTCAACTCCTAATAATCTTCTTTCACCTCATAACTAATGACTCCGTACCGTACCGCCCTCTTTCTACACAGTGCCACCAGCAAGCAACACCTCCTCCTCGGCGCCAGCCTGGGGGCTCCCGCTCCCGCCAGCGACCTTGGCGTCCCTCAAGCTGCGTGTCCTCACTCTGGGACCCTCACCAACCAGCTCTCTCTATTCAACGCTTATTACCGTGCTACCTACCCAGCAACAAGCTGCATTGTACATCCAATACAATATGTATACAGTGAGCACATTGTGAGTTTCCTTTCTCCATCCCATCCTGAGTGTGAATCAATAACCCATAACCCCACAACCGATCGCCCAACAGGCTAACGAGCCGACCATTTGGTGAAGAGGATAAATGAAAAAGAATAGTAACAGACGTGACCGACCGCCCAAGCGGCTAACGAGCCGACCATTTGGTGAAGAGGATAAATGAAAAAGAATAGTAACAGACGTGACCGATCGCCCAAGCGGCTAACGAGCCGACCATTTGGTGAAGAGGATAAATGAAAAAGAATAGTAACAGACGTGACCGACGCCCAAGCGGCTAACGAGCCGACCATTTGGTGAAGAGGATAAATGAAAAAGAATAGTAACAGACGTGACCGACCGCCCAAGCGGCTAACGAGCCGACCATTTGGTGAAGAGGATAAATGAAAAAGAATAGTAACAGACGTGACCGATCGCCCAAGCGGCTAACGAGCCGACCATTTGGTGAAGAGGATAAATGAAAAAGAATAGTAACAGACGTGACCGATCGCCCAAGCGGCTAACGAGCCGACCATTTGGTGAAGAGGATAAATGAAAAAGAATAGTAACAGACGTGACCGACCGCCCAAGCGGCTAACGAGCCGACCATTTGGTGAAAAAGAAAAGAACCACCTTTGACATATATGACGTCACTTGTCAACAACATACGCTTGGTGAACGAGTTAACGTCTGGTACAGTTTGTCGACAACCTTCCCTCTTGTTCCTAAGTTCTTAACCTTCGTCTGTTAGCGCGAATAAAAAAAAAACGAAACAAGAGACCCAATAAACACAACTTGATTCAATTTGTATTGAATTATCTATAAGAGTAAACGGTATGTTTTACTCTCCTTATAATATTGGTCCTCCTGTTTAGGTTAGATTTTTTCTGGTATTCCAAAAATGATAGACCTATTGAATTGAAAGAGCCAATATTCAATAACAAATTATGAAAAGATTCCAATAAAAAGTATTTATAATCCTCAAAAAATAATATACATAAACCAATGTTGTCAATTGATCAAAGTAACATTAAAGTGTGAAGAGTATTAGATGTGTATTAAGTCACCCGGGCTTTAACGTTATCCTCGAGACCTTTAACCTGGTTAGTAAATGAACATGTTTATATAGAGATTTTAACCATAGTTTGGGCTTTTCTTGGAAGGGAAATTGTTAATAAACTAATGCGTCTTTTGAATCCAGTAAATACGATGGAGTTAGGGATTTATTGGAAGTGAAAATCAGTTTTATAAGGTATCATAATATAATTGATGTATCTCTGGTCAAGTAGCCAGTTTTAAGTTGAACATTAGAGGTATTAAAATAACAAATTAAGGCAAACTTCCCACTTTTAGTACAACAATATATGAGGGGATGTTGTTCTATTACCCATCTTGCATTTAATTAAATAGCCAGAGATATTGGAGTAGTTGCATGATCAATGAAAACTGAATATGTTCTTGTTACTGTATTCCAGGGTCAACAACCTAATTGGTATGAGGTATTATTTTTCTAGTACATTTTGTTGTTTTTTAATTGATTCTGACTTTCGCTTCTTGTTGAAATGAGTCGTTCCTAACCCAGCCTATTGGCGTAAAAATGAATATTAACCATTTACTGCACAGTACTGTACTTAGGTAAAGGTAAGTTAGCTATGGCTTCTGCATCATTGGTACTACCTTAAATTGATAAAAACCATTACATAACTGCGTCTGATCTCAGTGAACCAGTTTGTATCACCAACCTTGAGAACTGTAAACAGTCTGTCAGATTCAGAGTGTACATATGTGGATCAGCTTTCTACTATCATTTGTTGTTTTAAAACTAATCTAGAGTTTGTAATGTGTATCAGTAACATGCAATGGTGCTTGTATAGTGAGTGTGTAGACTGTTCCCTCAGTTACCCTCGGTGCCTCATAAAATACTCATCTCAGTTGCCATTTTAACTCATGTTTCTGGAGGTAATGCTCAGGGGATTAATTCTTAATTGAAAAATAAGTAAAGAATAATTCTTACAGACAGCATGCAGCAGCAGCAGTAATACGGGCATAATACATTGTGTCTGCTAAGAAGTATGGATGGCGATGACAGTGTCGTAAGTATCTCTATAAGCTGTTCGTCTTGTATATAAATTTAAAGGCACTTTGTAGGATACATTACATTACAGGACTGTAATTCATATATAGTGTATAAAGAGCTATGAAATATGTTATACAGTATTGTCCAAAGCAACCCTATGTTTACCTTTAAAGTAGTACAAATATAAGCTCTCTAATTCTTGATAATTTTATATAAAACGAATTGCTTTATTGACAGATTGATGATGAATGGACTGGTTTGCGTCGGAGATTTAGCATTGAAGGATTGGAATGGGAGACGCAGGACCCCAGCTCACGGACTCTCCATGTGTGGCGTTGGGTGGTGGATGCAGAAGCCAACTTGAAGGCTGCTCGTCATATCAATGACAAGTTGAGGAGACAACATGATGAGGAAAAAGTGGTAAGTTCCATTATAGTGTTAAACTCTGCTTTATGATGAAAAAAAGACAATTGTCACTTGCAGATCTCTAAACAATAAAGTCATTTTGAAAACTTTAGAGCATTTGTATAAGTAATGTTGCTAGAACTTTGCAAATTATAAGGCTTGTTTTAATATCATACTGCTGTCCACTAGTCTTTTCTACATTAGGTATGTAAGGTACCTTAACTTAATACTCCTATTAGAGGAAGTCAGGATGTGTAATTGAGATACAGGTTGGTAGAGTAGTAGGTCCAGTGTGCTCCTTCAGGTATTCATGAAACAGTTCAACATCTTGCTCCATTTCCTAGGTACAATAAGTGAATATTGAATCTACTGAGGTGTGTGAGGTTAACAAAGAGCCATAGAAATTCTGATTGTGAATAGACCTATAATTTGGGGAACTGTATCATGAACAAACTTTTTTTTTCAGGAACTGGAGGAGTACACCGAACTCTTGCGCGTCAAGTGTGAAGACCGGGTGAAAGAACTTGATGATGAGGTCCGAAGCTTAAAGGAAGACTTGGAGGCTCTGCTGGCGGGGACACAAGCAATCTCGGCCATGCTTCTGAAGGAGGGATTAGATGATGTGGCTCAGGGCTCACTTGGAGAACAGGTAAGCTGAAGTCTGGCAAGGTTAGATTTATGTAGATTAGGTCAATAGGTCATGTTAGGTTAGTATACATTAGGTTTCAATTAGATAAGATGATAAGAATATAATTAGGAAGGATTTTAGGAATTTTATGTTAATTTTAAATAGTCTTGCACTGTGGTTAAGATGTAAACTTAAATTTATGACGATGTACAGTTTTTATATTGAGGCTCTTTGTAACATAGCCAAGAGTAAAATTTAACTGTTGAGAATATTTAATAGTTAAGATAGATATTGGCAAATACAGTATCTTTAGTGGAGAACCTTATAGCTTAGAGACCATTAGATAGATTAATTTCTCATAGCACTGAGATAATATTTACCTTTTTTCTCCATCATATACTGTACTCTGCAGATTGCATACTTGCTCGTAGAGAGGTCAAAACTGAATGAAGAGCTTACCATTGCTCGAACCAGACCTGCCTCTGACCGTGAGAAAGACTTGACAACACAGCTCATCAAGGTACTGTACTTTGATGCTCGATAAATAAGTTGCAGTTAATACCTGTATCTTAGATTTTTTGCAACTTTGAAATTCAACAACGAGTTTTGTTTTATTGTTTCCCTGTTCTAGATTGCATAGACTGGCAGGAAGAGACCAGGTAAGTGTCTTTGTTGTAAATGTATGTATTCATCAATTATTCATATTTCAGGGGGATCATATTCCACTCTGTTATCTCACAAACAAAAACATGAAATTTGTAAGTGATATCTAAAACAAAAGATTGACAGAGAGCACATGGAGAGCAGCAACAGCAGGCCGGGAGATACAGACACCAGGGTAGTTGGGGACCAAGTAACACTGCTGCTTACCCTTTCCCATATTGTTGAATTTTGTATGGAACCAAAGTACAGACCTTTGCCATTCAGTACATCCAACTGTGAACTGTTACTATGTTGTACTGTACAATTAAAAAACACACATTGAATTTTGATTGAAGGTGTTTTTTTGGGGGTACAGTAATTTTTTAAGTTAAATATTTTAATTGTACATTAATTGGTTATGCAAACTTGAATATAAACAGTACTGGTCCTGTATAAATACAAAATACACACATTTACTTCTTTACTTAACACCACTTTTTCACAGGCCAGTACAGACTTGGAGTTGCTAAAGCGAACACATCAAGACACAAATTGTCATCTAACAGAAATGACTGACAGAGTCTCGCTGTTAGAGAAGGCTTCACGTCAGCTGGAACTGGACAATGAAACATTGGCCTATAAGGTGTGTAAAACAGACATTATTTAGCTAGTACAGTTTTATTTCTCCTCTTCATAAGCTTAGAGCAGAAATTAACAATGCTTCTACGTATACAACTTTTACTCAGAGACAGACAGTGTAGAGTGTATAGAAGCAGGTGTTGTAACATTTTAGGGATAAAGACATTGTCTCAGTAGTATGGCTTGAAAGCTTGGTCAGTTGAGGCTGGTGATCAGTCATATTGGCCTTAGTCCTTATAGGTCCCAACCTAATCTGATCTAACCTAGTCTTAATGGGTAGGTTATGTTGAAGCTTATTACAACTGTTTTTCACTTTATTAGTAACCTCTACACTTGGTCTTCCACAACCCCTATACAGTACTATGTGATTCATGGCAGCCCTTGTTGAGAAAGTTACCATCTCCTCTGGTGGACTTAAGGTTGAGTCATTCACTTTTAAACTGTTTACAATCAGTACATGATGTGGCAAGTTAACTTTATGCAAAATGTCATTTACTTTTGTTACAGAATAAGAAATTGCATCCCAAAACTTATCCAACCTTGTGAGATTTTACCTTCAACTTTTAAATTTCTTAAAAAAATAAATCACAGTTTAGAGTTACATTTTCTATTGCGGCTGGTGTGAGTCACATCTGCCATAACTCACCTGAATTACAGGAAATTCAGAGAAACTTAAGGAAAATATTTTATAACACTTCACCCATGACTGAAAAATATTGAACTGTCACTTCAATTATCTAGAAGTGTGCTTGTAAACCATTATATCTCCAGTGGCGACAGAATTATTCACCCAGCTTGAAGTCTAGCCAGGAACAGTAATCCAAGGATGCTTATAAATATCTTTACACAATTCCATAGCTCTGTGCTGGATACTTTTGTGTATAATTCTGTTATCCTCAAATATGATTACTGTACAATGTAAGTACCCTATTGTACATATGTGTGGATGGATAAATGCTGTTCACTATACTCACTGCTTATACAATGCAGACTTTAGAGTTGGAAAGTAAATAAATTTAATGAACTAGAATTTTGTATGTCTAGATTTCATCATGATTTGTTGAGAAATATGTGAAGCACTGTATATATATTATTGTAGTTTTTGGAAAGTTCAAAGAAAGGAGAAATACAAAAAGAAATACCTGTATTGTTTTCCCCTGTGGCCTTAGGCATTGTAACTAAAAAAGGCAATCCCAAAACTAGCAAGTGTTCATGAAGAAACAAGTTAATTTGATCATCTTTCAGTCTCAGATTGGCAGTGTTGTCCTATTATCTGTTACTGTATATTTCCTCTGCTCTTAATTCTTACAAGGAGAGGATCAAGGGAAACAGACACACCAGCACAGGGAAGAAATGATTGGAAAGAGTAATGCAAGAAAAGTTCAGAAGGTGTCAGTAAAGTGGTGAAATAATGCGTAGGGACACACTATACTTTACACACTTCCTCATATCCTTAGCTGACGTAAATTGTTGTAGGTTATTTAGGGATACTGCATGTAATTACCGTACAGTGAAAAGTTGGTCCCATTAGCATGTTAGGGGGGTCTTGATTATATTATCCATGACTGTGATGAAAACTAATACTTTTGACAGTGTTTCATGTCTATAATGCTGAGTGAATGAAGTGCCCTGTTATGACTCTCCTCCTGTGAATTTAACCATGAGTATTGTTCACTGCCCCACACAATAGTTTCCCTCCCTGATTTTAATAACCCAGCATGACCCTACTCACTGGAACTTACCCCAAATGCATGGCATAACCTAACCCAATGCTCAGGACAGTTGTATGGGAGCATCTGAAAAAGTTTGTGAATGCAGAGTATGATCATGATTACTTCCTATGCTCTAGCTTTCTGAGGCCCTGGCCGAGATAGAGGATAATGAAGGCCAACTCCGCCGGTACTCCAAGAGTGAGTTTGTATGTGTACAGTATCGTATGTGCGTGTGATGCTCATACATACATACATACATACATACATACACGTGTTATAGTTTGTATGACACCTTTCATTTTTCTCTGCACTCTTTTTTTTATTGTTTATTTTTATTGCAGTTATTATTTAAATTCTTGTACTTAATTTAGTTTTTAAAGGAGTGCATTTTATTCCCACGTTACTTGTCGTTGCAATCTTTATGTTACATTGCTTTGGTTTGCATGATGTTTTTGCATTGTTCATGTCATATATTTTCATTATTTGAGGCTGCATGCTGCTCTGTTGATGTTTAGCTAAAAAGCTTAGTTTGTAAGGTCAGTATTTAAAGATACTACAGTATCTTATAAGAATGAAGGTATATAATTGTGCCAAGGACTGTTTCTTCCGATTCATTAACTCTTTTTGTTCTTCTGGATTTCATTAAGTTCGATCATTGTGGGTTATAGTACCTTTAAAACATATAATGAACATGTGCGACTTGTAGAGCTTATGTACCATTGTCAGTGGTCATTTGATAAACAGGTGATTTACAGAAAGCAGGAAGCACTTGTGGTAAATGGATGCATTTTTTGAATAATCATTGCAAGACCTCATCCACTTTGGTGTAAAATGGCTGGAAATCAAGAGAAACATTGACTCCTGCCACACATGCTTTTAATTACTTCTAATTTCTTTAATACAGAACAATGATCACCTTAAAATTAATCCCCAGCTTATTTCACCTTATGATTAATTATCCTAATGCTAACTTAATAATTATAATCTCCCCAGGTAGTGATAGGGTGTTAAATCATCAGGTGGGATAAACTTAGGTCTAATCTTCAGATGGTTCTTGAAGAGTTTTAGTGATAATAAAAGAAAGTTACAATAAGAATCCAAGTAGCTACCTTATCAGTTTGAGTATCTTAATGCTCTACTGTAATACTCATAATGGTAACAGGTAAGGAAAGTTTGGTGAAAGAAAATGTATACAGTATATTGTGTTGTCCTTAAATATAGACCTTGTAAGTGTTTATTTTTGTTCTTTTGCAGATCCCCATTTCAGACGGGGAGAATCACCGCGTACAAGTCTTCGCAGCCAGGAGGAATATGGAGCCTCCAGCCTGAGGAGCCTACCACTCGCTGACAATGTATTCTCGCGTGAGGACTGTCAGAGGCGAAGCTTCCAAAGGAGAGACTCTTCAAGGAATAGCGGCAGACAAAAGAAATCGTGAGAAACCTTTTGGGATTTTGCCGTTCCTACTCTTTAAGAAGGGAATTAATTGATTTATTCTTGTTTATCCATCTGTCTTTTGGTCGACCCAGTGCAGTACTTCCATCCCATCCAAGAGTGTCAGAAAGATTATGCTGAAAGTATCTTATGTAAAAAATGTATCTTGCTTAGAATGAACATATTTTGTAGGCTTCTTTAAATATTAATCCTCGGTTTTGGGGAATTTGTTGTTCTGTGACTAGTGAGGCATCTGTCTTTTACAGCCACAGCTCTTGCAGATCTTTTATCATCTCCTCGGCCATGAAATGAGATCCCATACTTTATTTATATATTTATGATTATTTTTTTTTCTCAGTGAACCTCTTAGACCAGAGAGGGGCAAGTCACCTAGAAGAAGACATAGTAGTCGGGCAAGTAGTGTGGGGAGGGATGGTGTTGAGGCCAGGGAAGCTACACCACATGCTGAGGAGGGAGAGTTGGCAGTGTCATCTCTTGGTAAAGGTCACGATGTGTAAGGATACTCCATATTACTTTGTATTTTCGAAGCGGAATATTGATACATTTGTTACAACACTTATTGTTCGATATTCCTGCTCTAAATTAATGACAAACCAACATAATTACTGCATACTATATTAGTCGATGGGTAATCTTCCCCAGGTACAAGGCAAGAGTTACCTACCATGTATGCCTTCATTTTCAAGTTTGCCTTTACCTTTTCAGTTATCATTCTTGTTTTATATACAGTATATATGTTTAGTTCCCCTAAACACCCAATTCTTGTTAGGTAAGATATTGTTTTTGTTAAATATGGACATAAGATAAATGACAAAACTTAAGCCATTCCTGAAATCCCTTGTGGTTGGATGATTCTGTGGTCAGTGGCTTTGTTATGTCCTGCTGTATATGCAAAGGTTATTATTACATTGTTAACTAGTACAAAGTGTAATTAATGTGCAGCTCATTGATAGTGAGTGATGTCTTAAAACCTGTTGATGTATAGCTAGATTGTCAATAAAGTGTGGTGGGGGGGGGGCTGCTTGACAGATAAACAAAATAGAAAAGTATTATTCAAAAGCTTGGAGAAGTGGACATAGAAATAGGAAAAAATACACACTGTAACTGTATTAGTAAGAGGTTTAAGAGGATAGAATATGAGTTAAGATAAATTTATACAGTGCACATAACTCATAAGTGACAGTGTAACAAAGTACATTTATGGAGAAAGACACAATCTCATCACCGCTCTCTTCTTCACGGCAGGTACGGCACTCGTTGGAACAGCATTGTGAGTTGTGGATCTGCCTCTCCTAAGAGACTCCATTCGTTACTCGATGATCAGATACAAACCTCCAGGAGCCAGATTACAATGTTGGAGGAGGTGAAGAAACTTAAGGTATGTGGATGTGTGTTCATATTATAATATTTTACTCCTGTACTTTTTTTGGCATTGAAGTTGTTGAAGGAAAATAAAACTTGTGAAGGTTGTTGTATGAAATGCTTAGAAAATGAGATATGATAAAGATTAGGTACCTCTGCTTATTAAACATTCCCCCCTCCCCTCCAATCTTTCCCTAACCTAATCCAACTTAACCTACTCCTCCCTCATTTATTATTAGGGTGTTTAATCATTAGGTGAATTAATTTGGGGTGGCTAATCTTTATGAGGTCCAGAAAGTGACAGGACAATGCTGAAACAACGGGTACTAACACACCACACATTTTTAGCTCAGACTTATCTTCTTCAACTTACAGGCAAAGTAAACAAATGGTTCTTAATAGAGAAATTCCATGTGTGTTTGTGGAGTGTTATTGCTTGTTGTGTTATAATACTTGCCAGGTATCATTCTCCTCAACCACAAAATATGGAGGAAAGATAATAGATTGATAGGTAGGTAGATGTCAGTGGATATTTAAACTTGATCTTTCTTTCATATTTTTATATTTTTGTATAGACCTGTATAGTCTGTGTATAGTATTCATTATCACTGTTGTTTCTTTCAGGTTGAGTTGGAAAAGATTAAGAAGGATCTTGTGGAAGCTGGAGACAAATATGAGTTAATTGTGAGAAAATATGAACTTTACAAAATTAAGAGTAAAAGTAAAGTTTCTTCATTAAAGTAAGTTTTTGGGGGGTTAATATGTTATTTATTAGCTTTCAAGTGTTTTGTTGTCTGTGTGAGTGAGTGAGTGAGTGTGTGTACCCCAGGTTGTAGTTATATAAGACTTTTTTTTTAGATTTCCAACTTGTTCATAGATTTTACCTGCACTGTACTGTACACTTTACCTTATTTGTGCCTCTTGAATATGTGTTCTAATACTACAATACTGTGATGATTGAGATATACTAAAATGCAAAATTTATGTTGTTAATCTTTGGATGCTTTATTTTTCCAGCAGTGATTCCATGTCAGTGTTATTATTCTCTCTATTTTTGTTTTAATTTTCAAGGACAAATTATCAGTCGGAGCTTGACACCCTAAAGCGAAGGATCAGCCAACTAGAGGCCGAGGTGAACCTACAGGGAGACCAACTTCAGGGTGAGGAATCCTTAAGAAAACAACTTGAAGATGATCTATCAAATATTAGGACAGAACGCCAAGAGCTAGCCATGAGGTATGTTGAAGATAATATGTTCTGTATAACTGAAATTTAGACATAACTAATACATAATTGAGCTTTAATGAGGGCAATATAATACCATAGATACACACTCAAGGAAAATAGCTTTGTATATTTACCTCTGTAGTCAGCTGAGTGTACTACAATGCTATCACTCTGTGGCTCGGTGAACTAGCGTGTGTGCCCGCTAAATTTAAAACAGTTAAAAATGCCACCACTCAATTTTTTTTTCGGATTATCAAAGTCTGCGGATAATTGATGTTGGGATTTTTGAAGTGCAACCTGTATATTCTTCGGATGTGGGAGGGAACGTGTGGGTTACGTAGGTTTGTGTGCTGTTAATTAATTGTGAAAAGATTCTAGAGTTGCTGTTTCTTTGAGGAAGGGAAGGTTACTTTTATAATACAGGTATCCTACAGTCTGCAATGTCCCTGTCTGTGATATTTCGCATTCACGATGTATTAAGACCACTTCCCTATTTGTGATGTAAACAACCCCACATTAGCGATACTATACAGTATTCATCTTCCCTCCAACTCGGACAAAAGCCAGTTCTCGATACTTCATTTCTGTCACTGAGTATACAGAACCCAGCCTAAAGTTTTCTAAGCTAACTTAAAGTATTCTCACATAGCCATTCGTGTATTTTCTGTACCTAATATTCCAACGTGCTTTAGCGTTTGCTCATAAATAACTAAATACCTGTATTCTTTGCAGGGTACGTGAAAGTGAGAGACTAGCCAGTGAACGTAGCCAAGAGGTTAGTCTGCTTCAGGAGAAAGTCAGACTTGTCCAAGATATGAATAAGGAGCTGAATGAGAAGCTTCAGGAACTAAGTGTAGCAGCCATCGTCGGGTAGTATCAGTAGAGTAACAAACAGTCTTGTGAAAATGATACTATGAAAACGGAACTGAATGAAAAGTTTGACTATATTTCTGTCTGCTGTTAATGAATCGAGAATTTATTTAGAGATCAAGTGTATTTTCTGTATTAATCATCCTTTACTGAATGTCATGTACAGATGTAACTTCTACTTATAAGTCACATGTTACATAGAGTGTTAGAATTAACTTTATTCAAACATTTAAGCCTCAGATGATATTACACTGTACTGGTCTTTGAAATATTCTCATATTTTACCCACATTGGGACTTTCTGCACATTTGACTTTATACCTAATGTGTTTAGACAAGAAACTTTTCGCTGGTTGTCTGACATATTTGCCAAAAGAGAAAGAAAAAAATGCTTGCTTGCAGGAAGACCTATATAGTAGGTGCTTGAGCTGACCAACTCCTGGCATTCAAAATTTTTTTATCAATAAGTGTTACTAGAGTGATGTCTATACCTATACAAGTTTTTACAAATTATATCTTCCAACAATGTGACACATCTTCCAGTCATGCAGAAAACCGTACAAAATTATCTTACCAACTCTCCGTCCATGTTTGTGAGCTAAAATTTTATAGGTGCTGTTTTTTATTAATTTTTTTAAGAATATTTATAGCTTTTGTAATTTTAATATTGTAGAATAATTAAGGCTAATATTGGTTATATGTGATGTGTGGTGAGGCTGATGCAGCAAATGTTGTAGTGATTTCTACGTCACTTGTAAGCATTCATATTCTCTCAATACTCAGATGTTTATACCCATTATCAGTTACAGTAATGGCTTTTGTTTTATTTGAGGATCATCTTTTGATAATCGTCATTAATGCATACAGTGCTGGATTTAGACCTGTGGAGGCCCATGGGCAGCCTCTTTGTGGAGGCTCCCCTCATTATAACTACCCAAGAGGGTGGGGTGGCGAGTGAAGCGAGCCTAAACATATTATTAGCAACACAAACAATAGCATTCATTAAAAATATACAGAAAACCAGGTATTCATGAATTTCAAGGAGTAGCTAGCCTAATTTCTATCACGCTTCTTGCTGAACATAGTTTTACGTTATGGAATAGATAAACATGAATTTTAAAGAATGAATATAAAAATAATCCAAATGAATAAACAAATAAATAAAATATTGTAATATGTGGAGGCCCCCAGATTGTGGAGGCCCCTGGGCAGCTGCCCACTTTGCCCACTCCTGAATCCGGCCCTGAATGCATACCGGGTAGTCTTCAGTAAATACTAAAATTCTCATTTCAAATAGCAATGTAAATTTTCTAGTACAATACATATTTAACCATACTCATTAATTAAACAACAACATAATTTATTTATGTACTGTAATGTATGTATAATAAAACCTGAACATTTTATGGGAAAAACTTTCTTAAACCCTATTGTTTGTGTCATCACCATCATCAGCACTGGTTTACTGTCATTCTCCTTGCATGTGTGGCTTACTTGTGATTATCAGTCGGGAACAGGTAAAATTTAAGTAAATTTTATGGTTGGATATCCTTCCTATTGCTAACTGACTTCTAAAGAGGAATTGATTTTTTTTTATTTTGCCGCTTGCTACTTTATTGTGCACCCCACACTCATCCTGTGAGCGGTAGCGCAAAAGGATTACAGAGTAGGGTTTACAAAGGGTCATAATAATTAACCCCCATTGTCAGGATATTATGGAACTGAATGTTACACAGTACAGTATTTCATTTACATTATTTGTTTAGTTCTATACATAAAGGGTAACTTATTCACAAATGCGTGAGTACAGGCGTGTGAGGCAGTATGTCTGGCCTCACACTTTGTTATTCACATTTACGTGGGAGGTATTCAAGCACATTGCGTATTTGGTTCTGTACATGAGAATTGATATACAGTAGTTACTAAGTGCAAAAAAGTGGATACAATCTTAATATGTCGGCTATCTTGCCATTAGAGATGAAGTGTTGTGCCATTTCACACACAGTGTGCTTGGACCTGTCCCTAAAAGGTTCTATCTTCACACAGTCGAGGATGTAGTGTTCAAGTGTGTGGCCATATGTTTGGCCACACACTTTACATTTAGTTTTGTTTACATCTGCTTGAGGAACATACTGCCAAAGGTACTTACATCCTAACCTTAATCTAGCGGTTACAACATCTTGTAATCTAGTGGAATTGAGCATTATATGTAGGACTTCCAAGTGCCCTCTTAGCGAGCAAGGTAAGTCACTACTCCCTGAGGTAATCAAAGATCACCATTATTTTTTTTATTCCAAGGAAATCCCTTCTTGTTGCAGCACAATTTGTCCAGAATTAAGAGCAGCACAGACTCTCTCATTATTTCTGTCTTTTGACCTCTTGATCTGCCTTTTCAGATGGTCCTTCTTGTGTTTCTCCTACACATACAATATCCCAAACGTTCCATCTGTTTTATCCCCAGTCACTTGACACAACCCAACATTACACAACTCAATCATTTCCTCTGTGGCAGACATATTCACAGTGGTTTGCAGCAAGTCATAACTTACCAAGTCCCGTGATTAACTTATTTTTGGAAACTTGAGGACTGAAATTATTTTGTATACTTGTATATTATTTCACCACTTATCAGGTGGTTGGTCTATTCTTTGTTACCTTATTACGACCTTTATTGACCAATCATCAGTGTTAGTATGGAAGGAAACCGGAGAACCTGGAGAATACCTGCAATATTTGATAGGGTCACACAGGATAACTCCCTTCTCACATGTTTCTCAGGCCAGATATTAAACCCAAGACAAAGCTGTGAGAAATGTGCACTTCACTGCTGCACCACCAAACTTCATATGATGTTACCATAGTTATGTGAGGGCAAATTTCCATCACATTTTCAAAGCTGTGGATGTTGTTGTTCGTACCCGTCACCCAGGATAGCCTCGTGCAAAGACATGGGTGTCCGCAGGATTTTTTCCATGGGGGGTGCAACAAAGAAACACAAGAACTTCACATATCAGCTAACAAGCAGTCCCTGGGTTATAAACATCCACTGATACGAACGAGGTCCCGTAAAGTTAAACTTTAGATTTACAATATTTTAGATGTATAAAAAACTTAGGCTATGATATAAGTGGGATTTTAAACATTGTTCTGTAAGTGCAGTATGCACATAAGGTATGTGTTTCAACTTACGTACATTTTCGACTTTAGAATGTCCCCAGGAACAGAACTCATTAGTAACATGGGGATTGCTTGCATTCAAATAGTATGATCAAGTATAAACAAGTTACCGTACTTTCGAGTACTGTGTGATCGGCAGTATCACCAAATTATTAATTGCTAACATTATCAATGGGTTGACCTTAAACATTAAAAACTTGCAATATTAATTCATTTTGTATCCTGAATCCTGATAAACTAGGGTGGCCAATGTTAGCTGTCTGTCATAGTGGTGACTTGCTTCAAACATTAGCAGTGTAATTTCAATGGTTAAATAAATACTGCAGGCAGCACTTATCAGATCCAAAATGATCAATCACATCTTTAATAAAGGTTTTCTTTCTATCTAACATCTCTGGCATGCACAATCGAGACAAGCATTCAGTTGACATTGTTAATCAAAGCCCATGCTCATGCTTGTGTGCAAAATTAGTCATGGCTCATGGAAAAGAAACGCTGCACTTGTGAAATAGAGTGGAACCTATTAAAACTTAACCATATCTTATCATAATCTAATCTAACCTAACCTAACCATATCTAACTTAATTTAGTGTGACAAAATCTAACTTATCCCAATCTAACCTAACATAACAACACATGATCTAACCTAATCTAACTTAACCTAACCAAATCTAATCTAACACATCCTAACCTAACCAAACTAATGTAATACAGTTCCTAATAAATCTGAATTCCATTTATTCTTATCACTTTTTGCTAATAATCCGCAACGTATTATTTCTTTATGATAAATTTACTGAAGTTCCATTATGAGAACTCTTATTATTAAAATTTTTATAGTTAAGGTTAATTTCTTTCATATAACTCTGTCCTGAATTAACTACATCCTCATTTACTTATTATTATTATTATTATTATTATTATTATTATTATTATTATTATTATTGTTAGCCTTTTAATGCAAGTGATAATCGGTTGCTCTCTTTAATACTACAGTAACACTTTAATCTCATTCAAAGTTATTTAATTCTCCATTTAATCTCATTCAAAGTTATTTAATTCTCCATTTAATCTCATTCAAAGTTATTTAATTCTCCATTTAATCTCATTCAAAGTTATTTAATTCTCCATTTAATCTCATTCAAAGTTATTTAATTCTCCATTTAATCTCATTCAAAGTTATTTAAGTCCCACATTTAAACTCATTCATGAATTGTTTATTTATATTCGTTTTCTATGTTAAGAAAAAAAACGAAACTCAATTATGGTAAAACTTCTTTAGTTTTGTTATTATGTTTATGTGGTACAACAATCAGTTTACTTTAGTGTACTTTATATTATTGTTTCCTCGTCTCCAATGACTAGCCTCTTAGCTGATTGAGGGGTCGGTCACGTCTCTATTAGGCGCTGTATTTTCACCCTTACTGATAAATACGTATAAGGATCACCTCACGATCATGCTTATTTCCCTGGCCAAACGGAGCCATTTGTTATAGTTTTCCTTGTAAGGATTACAATGCTCTGTAGTTTGTATATAATTATTGTTTTTGGTTATTAAATAAATAATAAAATACGTTGAATAATAATATATACAAATTCCTGAATGATTTATTGTTTTGGGGGTTTTTATGTTTAATAAATTACATAAATCTGGTTATGCTTCCCAGCAAACCAATCAAATTATAGCACAGTACATAATATTATTTCAACAATAGGAAATAAAAGACCTTTTTTTACGGGGAATAGCCCGTCAGGGCACAGGTCATCGACCCACAACGAGGCCTAGGGAGCGATAAATGAAAAGGAAAAGTAATGAGAGACGTGACCGATCGCCCAAGCGGCTAACGAGCCGATCAGTGGCAGAGCATTCCACAGTACAGTAATAAAAAAAAATACAATATAAATTTAACGATAATATCGGGCCAGTTTTAATAATAACTAGCTTAGAGTACTATTGATATCTTTAATACATTTTATTTAATGTAGTAGCTAAGTTATGTTTCGTGTTTATAAACCTCAATCGCTGTTGCACAAATAAACAACAACAATATACAGATGATTGTATTGTGGGGTACGTTATGTTTGGTTCACACTCAGGATGGTATGGAGGAAGGAAACTCACAATGTGCTCTCTGTATACATGTTGTATTGGATGTACAATACAGCTTGGTGCTGGGAAGGCAGCATGGTTACAAGTGTGATGTAGAGAGAGCTGGTTGGTGAGGGTGCTCAGAGGAGGACAGCTTGTGGGTCGCCATGCTCTCCGGCGGGAGAGAGGACCGCCAGGCAGGCGGAGGAGGAGGAGGTGTTGCTGGCTGATTGGTGTAGGTAGAAAAGAGAGTGGGCACCACGAGGTCAGGTCTTAAATAGCGGGGGTAGGCGTGGCTTAGTAGTTGACCTCCGTGATGTATGGCGGCGCTGGTTGACCCAGACCACGAGGCACACACTGGGAAATTCACGGGGTCGGCTACTCGGCGACAAACAGCGTTTGTAGGGGATAGACCTGCTACAGTATCAGTCAGTAGAAGTGGTACCGTTCTTGCCTTGCAAGCGAGATGTCACGGGTTCGATTCCCGGGCCGGTGGAAGTTGTTTGGACTTACTTCCTAACCCCATTAGTCCCTGTTCACCTAGCAGTACAGTAGGTACCTGTTGTAAGTCAAAAGCTGCGAATTCGTATTCAGGGACAAGTTGTTGGAACTTCCAATAACTTGATGACATAAAACCACTGACTCTTCAGGCTTCTATGCCCTTAACTCTTCAGGCTTCTACGCCCTTAACTCATGAGACATAAAGCAAGCATGAACTTAGCATGCTTACCTGTTGGGCGCTGTAAACGCTCCTGCGCTTCACCTTACACAAGGCTGTAGGGGAGTGCCTAATAAATAATAATAATAAAAAAAAATTACGACATTAAGCTATTTCAAAATTGTGTAGCAATATATGTTCATTTTTTATTTCGCTATTTTAATGCTCAAGAAAATGCATGTCCACAAATGCACTCAGATGTTTCTTATATTAAAATACAACAGAATACAGGTAATGAAACTCGATCTTCTATTACACCTGTTTGAGTGAAGAAGATCATATACCAGTTCTTGGAACCCGTGTGTGTAAGGACGACGTTTATAGCATGTCAAGGTGATTAAAACTCGGTGCCATGCCAATTTTCAACATTTGAAATAACTGAGTAAGGAACATTAAAAGCCTTTTATTGCATGAATTTTCAGTCAGGTAATGTTAGGTGACCTCCAAGTCGTTAACGTTCCTATATCGTAACATTTTATCACTTACCTATCTAACTGTTTAATTCATTTTCATAATTATACTATCATGTAAGGTATCTCCCGGTTACAGTTGTACATTTACCAAGACTCATTAACTAAATGTGAGTTAAGTCATGAAAATTGGCGATCAAAGGGAAGGTTAAATTGGATACTATAATACTTCTCACAAATTCTCTATGTTAATCTATTCTTCAACTATCTCCATCACATAGGATAATTACTTGATATATGTACTTTAGATTATTACTTGATATATGTAGTTTAGATTAACTTGTGTCATTAATGAAGGTATAGAAGGTGCGCTAGTCGCGTCTCTCTTCAGCAGCATCAAAACAACAACAATGGCTGCGGAACAGGATGATGACCTTCTCGACAACTGGGAGGATATCGATGAAAATTCGGTAAAATTCAGGCTCTAGAGGGTATTAAATAAGAGATAGATATAACAATAGTTGTAAGAGGTATCCTTAGTTGAAGTTATAAAGGGGATATCTCTCATAGAAGTCTGTAAATAGCAGTGTTTATAAACCTAACAAGGACGTAGTTTGTCTTCTCGTCTGGGGACTTTGCCTTACATCTGTGCTCATTGGAGGTACATTAATTGTCACGGTCACTGTCGATAACTACTTTGTTCTCAAGTGTTTGGTGATAATACTGATAATTTATTATTTTTAAAGGGGGTTCAATTTATGACAGTTGTAAGGTGAACTATGATTTAGAGCCTGACTCCAGTAGTGTTGGGTCTATGCTTTGGCCAGATGTTAAGGAAATATTAATGACTTATACCTTTGATTAATGATTTATTATGAGGAAGTTGTAATGGGGATCTTTATATATGATTTTAAAGTAATTTGGTATAAGTTTATTCTTTAAATTCTCTCTTGCTTTAAAAATGTTGCAGTCTATATAGAATGTGGTAGATCAATTTGCTTTGCAGGTCGCCCTCTTATCATGATAGTATTAGTGTTGTAATTAAAACAAGCAGGACTCTGAAAAATAGGGATAACGTAGGATTAAGGTTTGTACAAGACTTAAAAGGGAGTTTTTACTCTAGGTTGGGGAAAGTTGGTAAATTTGACTTTGCAAGAAGTAGCTTAATGTTCATATTTTTCTGAATACTTCTTAATGTTGTTACTGAGCGGTGTATTTACAATGATCCAGTGAAGAGAGAGCCTTGTCTTAATGTTGATGCCCTACCTTGACATACCAGACTCTGCCAGGGGGGCGGTTTAGAAGGGAAATCATGATAGTCACTTTGTCGCTCCTTATGGGATGTCATACTGTAGTCCTTTGTTTTATGCAGCACGTACTGTACATTATGGTACACAGGGTTTTCAAAATTGACTGATAGATACCTGTCACTGAAGTTTTAGCTAGAACATCTCCCAGTCATTCGAGGGAAGTTTTTCCTGAGATGTAATGTTTTTTAACCCCATGTAAATGTTGTAGTTAGTACTTAGGATATTATATTATAAGAGAGTCTATTGTTTTGAGGATTGTTTATGTACTGTATCTTTATTTTTCAAATTTTTTTCAGGCTGTGTTAGAAGAACGTTTAGAAAGATTGGCTATAAAAAATTCCCAAATAGAATCAACAATGCATTCGTAAGTATTTTAAATATTTACAGTTACCCATAATCATGTAATGGGTATATTATATTTTTTGGAGAGTACAATTATCCTAACATTTTGTAACAGCACTTATGAAAGTCTACAGAATCTAATTGATAATCTTTTCAAAACCTACAGAACAGGTAGTGATTTATTTGTTTATGTATTTATTTATGAATACAAATGGGTTAAAGAATTACAAAAACTGAACCACTAAATATTTAGAGGGAGTTTATTGGGTATACAGCAGTGAAGAGACATTTATGTTTATTTTCCTATATATATGATAATTTATATAACTATCTCAGACAGTAAAATATTGGATCTCTCAATCAGTTGTACCTTTTATTTTATATTTGATTTAATATCTTGTGATTATTGATATACCTGTACTGTATTCTGAAGAAATGTGTTCCATCCTTTTGAACAATTATTAATCATGTAAATTTCTTTTGATTGTGTCTGTGAATTTGATTTCTGAAGCTCATCCGCATCAGTTTAATTTTGTGATTGGAGATGAGAGACAAGCCATACAGCTTGAAGTCTTAACATATTGTAATTGTTTTAAAATATCCTTTGGTATGTCAATAGAAACACTTTAACCCCCACAGGACTCATGTTGTCACCTGTGAGGACAGCTCGCGGACCCCGTTTACGCCACAAGAACCCAAGATCATGATATTAAGAAGACCACAGGAGAAGACTGACACATCTCCTAATGGGATGATTACCATTAAACAGAAGCAACCTGTAAAAACACTTGAGCAGGTATTTTTTGTTTGTTTACTTGGACATAATATTGTTAGTTTGACTTTTTTGGTGCAGAAAATATTACGACTTTACTTTTAATAGAAAATCTTTGGTGTAATATATCTTATTGATGTGTCTATATTGTCCTTTCAAAGTCAATATTGTTTATCATACTTGGAGTGGATGATCCTTCTGCTTTGTTTTAAACGGTGTCATATATATAGTAGTTTAGTACTGAACAGACCATATGGTAACAATATACAGTACTGTAGTGTATACTCTACTGTACATGCTATTAAGTACTCACCTACATAGGATGTCCAGGTCCTGGAGATTTTAATGGGTAGCTGGTGAGGTTAACAAAAGGGGGGAGGGGGAGGCAAGTTACCTGGAAGAGGAATACCATAATGTATCACATGTATTTACAACAATAAAAGTGAATGAATGAGTGACAACAACCCTGCATTATAGTGAGAAAAGGCTTAAAGCAATAAGAACACAGGTACCCCCGATTTATGATGGGGTTGTGTTCCTGAAAACCCTAACATAAATCTAATTAACGGAATTCAGGACCCAGTTTCAATGGGATATGTTCCTGGTCAGTCCGACACAGACATGTAACACAGAAAAAACGATCCCACTTTAATTAAAAAACAAACAAATTAAACAAAACTCACCACAATAATAATAACAAGCCTGGTTATCATCACATGTCCCCTGCGTGGCTAAGGGAACTCTTATTGATCAAGCGGTGACATGGATCTGACTCCGACAAGATGCTTGCTAGCCATTTTCAGAGTTACACTGATCACTTTACAATCACCAAAGCAGAGAACACACTGAACGATACAGTTTTCCTCTCATCACTAGTGGCAAAATATCACAGTGATCACAATGTTACGCAACGATTAATAATGATCTTGTTGTTACTTGCGTGATGGCAGATGTGACCACGTTGAAACAAAGTGGGGATTGTTGTTCACATGGAGGCTGTGAGGTGAGGCTCGGGTAGGTGACAAGTGAAGGGAAAGATACATTTTCCATTGTTTACATTCCGTGTCAGTGAGTTTAGCCTAACAAAAATACCGAGAAAGTGTTAAATCTTAATAAACTTTATTTTGGATTATCGTAAAATGGATGATCGTAAATTGAGGGAGACCTGTACACTTATTAGTTAGAGTGTAAGAACCTTGTTATAAAAATAGATGTAAGTACATGTACTGTATTCTGTTGTTTACTGAATACTGTATGATGGTTACGTTACAGAGACAACAAGAATATGCTGAGGCAAGATTGAGAATTCTTGGTGATGCAGGAAGCACTGAAGAAAATAAACCAAAGCCCATACAACAAAAGTCCTTAGAACAGGTTCGTTTCAGAGTCTCTATATTTTCTTCTTTATCAGTTAACCCTCAAGCACTTGTCTACGGTAGTATGTATGGAAAAATTTAAAAACAAAACAAAACAAGTCAGATCTTACAAACTGGTCATGCATGAAACAAACAGTAATTAAATACATGTACCTAATACAGTTTGGATTAAAGGGGTTAGGAAGAGTCGAGAATGTGCGTGAAATGGCGTGTGTGTGTGAGAGGCAGTGGGGTGAGGCTGGCAGTATGGGGCACATGTACTTGACTCTTGTTTTATTATATTATTACTATTTACACAATTTATAATTATTATTACTGCCTCCAGTAATTGATCACGAATCTGCTGATGGTCAAGACCTGTACTACACTTGTGCTTGGGGGTAGAAACATATGGTGAGGAGTATGAAGTCAAAGAGCGAGATTCTTCCATCACAAAAACTGAGATGCTACTGAGAAGGGAGTCTGGGAGGCTCACATGGGTGAACGAGCAAAAGATAAATACCTACTTGGCAACATGATTTAGCCAGGCCTGCGTGGTGATTCAAACAATTCCGCCAAATAATAACCTGTCATATGATGGGAGCTGAATCCCTGTAAGCATCCTTCATATGATGGGAACCGAAGCCTGGGGGTTAAAAGTACGAGAAAGACTTGTGAGTGTTTTACATGTGTAGTAGCTTTATTGACATAACTAGTGGAGAGATATTTGAGCTTTGCTGCTAGATCATTAATACTTGAAGATGTGGAGTTTGTCTCTTCATTATATGAAGATCAGTATGTACTGTATTCTCTTTTCCATCCCTATTTCTAGAAGAATGAGGGATATAGCAATTGTGTTGTGCCTATTTGTATATGTGGGGATTTTTCATATCAATTGTATATCATTAGAACTTCAAATATTAGAAGTATAAAGTTTGTTGTATATGTTTAATAGAGTGCAAAATTTTTGAATGATAATCTGTACTTTATACCTAAATCTGTATTTATACTTACATATACTGATATAAATAAAGATTTTGAGTCAGACTCTAAAGTTTTAAATTCAGTGATGTTAAGAATATTCCCCTATTGTAATTTTTCAGCGAGAAGCAGATTACGCTGCTGCTCGGTTGCGAATCATGGGATCCACTTCTAAGTCTGTAGAAGAACCAATGTTAACAGGGTAAGGTGACTTGCTTTGCTTTTTGTGAACTTAGTTACATATATTTATATACAACTGGCATATTCTTGTTAAATGCCAATGGATATTTCATGCTATTATTTATTATCCTTTAAAGTTAGGAAGTTGATATTGTATTCATTGTAAACATTGTCTCCATTGCACTTCTTAATGCTTTGTTCTGTCACATGTTACTTATTGTTCAGTAATGTTTTATTTTGTTGACAGAAATTCTCCTGGAAATAATATGGTAAATATCCAGAGGGAACCCCAGAGTAATGTTGGGGTTGTCAGGTCTCCGAAAGGCCCGGACGGTACTTGTGGTTTTAGCAGAGGAGGCGGTCATCACAGGTAGCAGAAGCTTAAGTTAGCAATCAGTTTAGAGTTTTCTTGCAGTTGGCAAAGTTTTGGGCCAAAGTGGATCTTAACTCCATTGGTTACGACGAGAGTTGCTTGTCACGCCGGCTACAGTAAAAAGAAAAGAGTGATCATATTTCTAGGATTATCTCACTTGTACAATAACCTGATGGCTTTATTTTTTCATCCCTCATTCTTCCTCTCTATTTTGTTGTGAGTTTCTGTGCAGTTAATACTCATTATTTATTCACTAACCATGAAAAGATTTAATGTAACAGTTCAATTATCCTGCTTGACTCCACAAAAGAGAAAATAATATATTTTTGCCAGCAGCAATTATTAAAATTCTTATATTTTCTTGACAGTATTGACAGGAAAAGTTAAGCTTATATATCTTATAGTGGCAGTATGAGGCAAGTTCTTTTCTTAGGGTTTGGTTAAAGATCTTGAAATCTCCAAGAATGGCCATGCACGCTCGTTTGCTGGTAATCTTCCGTAAATATTTGACTTATTATTTCCATACCCTTGTCTGGTGAAGACCTGAACAGGAAACTGTTTACTGAATATGTCTGCACACAAGCTCTTTTATTTTCACAAACTGTACTGTAATTGTTTATGCTTTTATTCAGTTTGCATAAAAGGACACATGTTAGTATATTGAAGCTTGTTGTGTTATGTATCTTCTTACGTGTATGATGTACACTTGAGGCAGTTTTGGGAATATGACTCAAGTCCTCCAGGAACATTAGTACTGTATGCTCTTCTGAGGGTGTCCTTAAAATTCAAAGTTTAAACATTTTGCCTTATGGTTACAGCAACCAATGATAAAAATTGCCAGTTTTTAAGAATATAAGAGGAAATATTGTAATAAAATGACAATATACTTTACTATAACAGGAAATACTTTCATATGATAGTAGAATGTCTTTCCTGCCTGATATATTGGATCATATTGTTAATATTGAAGAAGCTGCCTTATGAATCCCATTATCACAAGAATTTGATTTTCTCTACATGATCTCAAAACATTGATAGAAATGTAGCTACAGAGGTTTTATATATATATATATATATATATATATATATATATATATATATATATATATATATATATATATATATATATATATATATATATATATATATATATATATATATATATATATATATATAACATTTTTGGTTTCTTTATTTTTATTCATCAACAGAAACAATAGAGTTTATATTAAAAAGTGAATGTTGGGATATACAGTAGTTGAGGGCAGACTCTTACATGTTGACAGCATGACTCCTTGATTACAAGAACCCCCTAGTCTCAGGCACTGCAGAGCCTACTAGACATGCTGCTACATATTTTAGAGATGTGTATTAGTGTTTAATGGAGTTAGATTTATCTTCACAATGATTTTCCTACTGGGGTTGGCTTCTTTCAAGCAGATGGACTAAACGTGAACTACATTTCTGGTAGATAGGAATCCATCTGTGCTGTGCTTAGGTTAAGTGCATCTCCAACAGAACTGCATTAGGAGTGGTGTTACCTGATCCTTCCTGTTCAAGATACTGTGTACAAATATCGAGGAAAGTCCACAAACCACAACTGAATGTTTGAAAAAATGCTGTTTGGTATGTTTGATAAAATCTCTGTAGATATGATACTGCTCTTACAGTCAATGTACACAGACTTCTTTGAGGTTTTTCTGGCCTGTGTGTGAAGGCAGTTTAGACAGGGCTAATCTCCATTGCTGATGAAGCTCTTCTTTTGTGATTTATTGGCTAAGCTTCCACACTACTATGTCTGAGGCTGCATTTTTGGGGTGGTGTAACTGCAGTCAGTCATAGAAAGCCTTGGCTTCCTTTTTTTCATAATGTGTGTCTTTTCATACCACAATAAGTGCTGTAAATGTTGTTTATAGGATTTTAATGATAAGTGTCAATCTGAGGATTGTTTGCAGACTATGGTTACCTAAACAACATTTCTTAAATATGAACATGTAGCACTTTCTTAAACTTCTCGTTGTTTATTGAGTGTCTGATGATGAAATAGTTGCAGAATATTCTCAGTAAACTGATTTTAATATATGATAGTGAAACCTCATTTTAATAGACTATTGGAGGGAATTGTTCTTCTCAATTTGTATTAACACATTTGTTGACCATCCGGCAGGAACTGTCAGTCATTGATAAGCACAGTTTATTTTTTTATTATGTTGCCAAGCTTCACTGTCAGTCATATCAGAGACTTAACGGAACTATTGTGATTTATGATTTGTGTCTGAGGTCCTTTGAAAGGAGGTCTGACTATCACTTTACATGACAAAGCAGAAATAAGTCTGCAAGTTGCAGACTAGTCAGAAATAAAGTTTAAACTTGACTGCATTGTCATTGTCATATTGTTGCACAATACTAATGTTATGGAAACTCGTGTTTACGAAGTAGATTTTCCTGGCTGGGCAAAATAGGAAATATGTCTTGATTCTGGTAATGTGGTCAGACATTTAATGTTGTTTATAATATTTTATAATTTTAAAATTTTCTCATTATGAAGAACTTGTCCATAACCATCTCCACTGTTAGTTGATTTATTATATTTGTCATCAAAATATTTTGATAACCATTCTGTCATTTTTCTGATGGCACGAACAGTCAATCCTAACCAAATTGACCCCAAAGTCATTACTTTAGGTTCAGTTGGTGTTGTCTATTAAAAGAAAAATGTTTCATGGTCCTGTTTGTGATGCTTCTTCCAGCACTGACCATCTTGCTGCAGTGATATTTTTAGAATTTGTAGCAGTAGATGGTGAGGTAAACAAGTGTTTTGGATGACTTGGTCATATATTTACCAGAATCAAATTATTTATATTTTGCTGAGTAAAGTCCCCCCGACCCCTCTTTAAAAAATGAAGATGGAATTTTGAACTTAACTTGTGCTTTAACCCCTTCCACACTGCATAACTCCATTTAATATGCTCTGTTGTAGCCAAATATATCAGCTTGGCCATCTGGTAAGGAAGGTGTTAAGGGCATGCTCTATGGAGGAATTTTTTTTTTTAGGAATTATATATGTACAGATTTTTTTTAAATTTATTTATAATATTTTTTTCCTTGCAGTCTGCTGAGATATGATTTGTTAGTTCATTACTAATTGTATTTGTAGTTCTTTGTTCCTGTGAAAGCAGGCTCTGTTTACAATAATGAATATAATCATAGAATCTTCATTAATAGAGGGTTAAATACATACACACATATATCATGGACATAAATACCTAATACCTGTTACACAGGGCCCTCTAGTCTTACATTCTACATGCAGTGTATGATCATTGTCAACACTTTTATAGGAGGAGGATTAGCAGCAATATGGACCACAATGCAGGTGGTTACATGTAATATTTAATGGCTTTATTCTTAAATATGTTTAGAGAGGTTCTGCTGTGTATATCTGGAGTGAGAGTTTTAGCGAATGGTGCCGCTGTGGTGTTAGCTTTTTATCTTTGCATTTAGTTACATGCAGACTGTGTTGTGGGTTTGGTCAGAGCATTGAGTCTGTGCCTTATGATATCATCTAGAAGTGGTTGGTTGTTAGTGAACACCGTGAAAGGCTAGTTAGGGATTAAAGACACACACGAGTTGAAGACGGAAATAGCTAAAGTACTTGCAAGAATAGTAGGGGGTACTCATGGGACTACAGTAACTGGAGTACTCATGGGAATACAGTATCTGGAGTACTCATGGGCATACAGTAGCTGGAGTACTCATGAAAAGGGTTTACTGAGAACTTGACTGTTTGCTGGGTGTGTTTGTCGCCTTGAATTTATGGACTGTAAGGAACTGTGTTTGTGTTTTTTTTGTCATGGTAACCAAAGTATGATGAGTCAGAAATGAATCTACCTGTGTATGTAAGAACAACAACAAGAACAATGACATGCTGTACAGTATAGGCTATATTTACTGAAGATTAAGAACCACTTGAAACTACTATTTTAAGTCTGGTAACTACCCTTGCTGTCACCCCAAGTTTGAAGGGAATAGTAGTAGCAGAGGTTGTAGGCAGTTCTTTATTCTTTCAGTAGTTACTCTAGTATATACCATTTCCATCTACATATTTCATAATTTTTTACATACAGATATATATATACCCACATGTAACTTGCCAAATTTCTGCTCCATAATTTCAGGAGTTCCTGAAATATAACTCTTTGCTAAAATTTTCATGTAAACTTTCTAACTTCATAAGTAATCACTGGAATGACTTATTTCTTTGCATAAATCTTTTTCAATATAAAATTACCTCAATAATTCCTAATATTCCAAAGCCAAATGTGATTCAGGGAACTGAAGAGAATCAATATTTTAGCTGCTTAATTGCTGAATACACTATTGTTTTCTGCCAAGGAAGGCTGGTTGAGATGGTAGCAACTTCCAAGTTTACTTCATGAAAATTACTACAAGTCCATCGATCTGTATGTACTCTTCAGATTTTCTTATTACCAATATTAGTTGGGATGTGAGTCAGATAAAGTTGTTGAACATGACTGACAAGGGTTAAGGATGTAGTCACTGGTGGAGATTTAGTAGTTTTGTGGATAATGTGATAAAGAGGGGTTTCCAGATTTTCTATAAGCATATATAATTCCTCATATTCTTTATATCCCAGCTGTTGTACATTGTTCAGACAATAATTTGTGTTGTTCATAATTACTACTTTGATGGAGCAATATTTGCTGTATCACAGTCCAAACAGAAGCTTTATTTCAGAATAGAGTAACATTTAGGTAGCAGAGCATTTTTATACTGTATTTGACTTTTATGTTGTAATGATACATTGTAGAGTATGAGGTTTATAGTGACACATTACAAGATGATTCAGGTTAAATTCTTCAAAATGAATTTTCTCATCGGCAATCATTTCCACCACTGCCAGTAGGAGGAATCTACATCTTCAGTAGGCCTGGGCATTTGATAGGTCTTTTTACATCTGAACTTACTAGTCTAGTATAGCAAATCTTGCACCACCAAAGAAGACTGCAGAGTTGGAAATAACCTTACAGTAAAACCCCCATAATGCAAAATAATAGGGACTCTAGCACTTATAAATTATGGGATCTTATGACATATGAGGGACACCTTCTCCCGAGGGAAGAACGAACAAAACAACGGTACCTTTCAACTATCTACCCCGATCAAAACCTAAACGTTTCTAAGTACAGTACCAGATTTAGAGTTATCAGACATAATGGCTCAAACCTTGGGTAGACTGTAGATGTGAACTCCATGACTGACCCATGTGAATTGACCGACATGCGTATACTGTACCTGTACTTGTTTACACTGAGGCGGGCGGTCAAATCCCATAGCGACATGTGTGTCATACATATTTGTAAATGTATCTCACAATTCAAAATTTACCAAATATTAAGAAAATTGAAATATATATATATATATATATATATATATATATATATATATATATATATATATATATATATATATATATATATATATATATATATATATATATATATATATATATATATATATATATATATATATATATATATATATATATATATATATATATATATATATATATATATATATATATATATATATATATATATATATATATATATATATATATATATAATACTTCAAAATATCTCTCATATTTTGAAACTTTACCAAATATTACAAAATTTGAAGCATAAATTTTTTTATAGTAAAACATAACGAATTAGGAGTGATTTTGAATTAGGGGATGTGTGAATTATGAGGTTTTTACTGAGTTCACAGCTTTAGCCCAGGATCTTGCAACCAAGACAGTGAGCTTCAGGATTTACTCTTTGAAAGTTGTATTTTTTAACACAGCAGCCTTTTATATGAAGCAGGAGATGTATCAAGCTCACATAGGAAGTTCATAGATGGAAGGATGTATGAAATGCACTGCCTTTAGTGATATGTAAAGTATAGTACATTGTATCTACAAGTTAGTCATAACACTTGTGACTTATTTCAGACAAGAACTACTGTATTGAAATTTTGTTTTTTGATGCTATTATGAAACTACTGTACATTACTTCTGAAAAATAATGGTAAATTTTTTTGTAGTTTGAATCTATTTTATGAATGAAACAGCAGCTGAAGCACCAGGATTGTAACACCTTTTTTAACTAAAGTATTTAAGGTTACATATTATGTGATTTATTGGGAGGAGTGAAGGAAAATACATGTATAGATATTTTGTATTGTTATTTAAATGGATTGCCAAGCCTTTGCCCTTTTTTGTATCAGTTTTAAAGTACAGTAGTTATTTGGGTGTCGTGAATAATTACTCAAGATTATTGGAATAGTCCCCAATTATGTACTAATTACACTTCAGACGTTTCTCTCTCTCATGCATGTACCAAAGGCACACGTCACTAATTCACTTACCTACATTCTTTTATTTTTTCTAATATATTGTACTTTTTTTTTTGTGTAATTCACTTACTCTTTCCACTCATACTCTCATCCATACAGTTACTCACTCATAACTCACCCACCACTCGCCCCTTCTTCAGCTTTCCTTCCTTCATTACACGCACACACACACACACACACACACACACACACACACACACACACACACACACACACACACACACAAACTGTACAGTACTTGTCTTTATATACAGTCAACAAACTCAAGAAAATCTCAGATAATGTTGTGAAAAAAGTTTTTGTAAACACCTGAAATTTTTCTGTCCATAGGTGGCACATTAATGTCTCATGTGGGTGTCTTACAGTATCAAAGAGGAGTGTAGATGGACTTTGTTCATAACTGTACATAAAACTGCAAGATGAATATGCAGGTTATTGCATACACCAGTTAGCTCACCCTCATGAACACCGCTATGTTCAACAAATTGACGAACACACAGCACACTTCAACACAGATTTTTAAACTGATGAAATAATAAGGCTTGACCCTCCTGTTTTGGGCTACAGGTTTAAATGGACCCATTTCTAGTATGCTTCACTCTATCCAGTAGGAGTATGGCCCATTTGTGTTAGGTTGGGTCTTAATAGAACTGAGGTCCAGTTAACTTGCTACCCTTGTTCTGGAAGTCCATGTTATTTTAAATGAGGGACATAGCTTATTAATAAAGGGAAAAATACCACATTGAGTTTCCTGCTTTCAGAGAGGCAAATAGCTAATTAAAGTGAACCTATGAGTATACCACCTGTGTGGGTCGGGCAGTGGTCGCACTCCCATCTTGTGTGTCAAGATGAGAACCCCCTGGCCTTCCCACACAACTCCATAAGGATTTTAAGGTAACATTGTACTGAATGTAGCTAATAACAGACATTTTGTTATAATTCATGTCAAAAGATAAGCTGTTCTTGTTGACAGTGCCTGACGTATGGATATTTACAAGTTATGATTGTGTAATGGATAATAAAATATATTTTCCATGATAATCATGCTGAGTTTGTGCTTAACCAAAAGAATGGCATCAAAGTGGTTAGTGAAATGGATTAGGTATCTCATGATGACAGACGGTATGCAGTAAAGGTACTCGACATGCTGATTTAGGATCTAGGGTAAAGAAGTTGGAATTTGGTTAGGTACTTGTCCTTCCCATTTTCTATGATGAGACTATTTTCAATGAAAAAATTCCCATTTTCTATGATAAAGATTTACTGTTTTCTATATGAAACTTCCAAGCATCATTAAGACCACTAATTACCCATCAATCGAACCGTGGATCATATATTCGGAATCGGCATGCCCAGGAGTACTTTTACTGCGATTTTTAACAAAATTATTTTTTGGCCAAAAATTGTAAGCCCCTTGGTAATTTTTCGGCCAAAATATACTTTTATCTCAGAATTGGAATTTAAGGTACTTAACTACTTAAATACATCCAGAATAGCTAAAAAAAAACCCACCAAAATCGCACCTGGGAAACCCATAATTGGCAAGTAATTAGCATTGGAAGATGTCATTAAAATCTTCCAAGCATCATTACGACCACTAATTACCCTTCAATCGAACCGTGAACTATATATTCGGAATCAGCATGCCCAGAAGTACTTTTACTGAGATTTTTTAATTACCTTAGTTTTTGGTAATTACAGTACTTCATGAATTACATATTTATAGAATTTTTATGAAAAACAGGAACATTAAATCTTTCCAAGAGTAATTCATAACATAACCAGCACTAGGCGTTTATATATTTGTAGTTAGATGTTCCATTCAATTCCAAATAAAACATTGTCTTCGAAAAAGGTGAGGATCATTCGGTCACAATTATACCGATATAATATTAACACCCACAACTACACATCTTCTTTACGTGAGTTATCCATAAACTCGTTCTCTCCACACCTTATCAGAGAGAACTAAAATTCTTTACGCGACACTTGTTTATGTTAACTCTTTACATACATACATAGACCTGACCTAAGTGGATATGCAGCCTCGCCACTTCTTACACCAATAAAGGCAACATTTAGGTAAAAGTTTCTTGAAGGGTTGACATCAGATTTTCACTTTCATCGATAAGAAATACAAAAGAAGCCACTGATATAAGAACCAGGAGTCAGGGGATGTAAATCTTCGTGGTATAACCTTCACAAATCCATAAATTAATACACAGAAATAAGTTATGTGTATGTTAAAACTAATATCCAAAAAATAATATTAAAAACAAGAATCAAAACTGGCAATATACATTTTCTATACCAGACAAATAATCTCACAGAATTGGGGAAAGTGGACTCATTGAATGCCTCTTTGGGCGTCACCTTTAGGACAACATCTTGGTTCATGTGGATCCAATTATTCTCGATATTGACAAAGATATGGACTATGATGTTGAAAAATAGGAGGAATATGATGAAGAAGAACCAGATGTCGATGAGTTTTATGGTGGCAGTGGTAGGAAGCGAGCTGGAGAGGTTGGAGAAGAGGGTGTAGAGCACGAGTAGTGTGGTGAGAGACATGATGGCTCTTACGTTTAGTGCGTCCAGTTTGACAAAAAGAGTCGCCCAGCTCACCAGCAGCAACAACACAGACGGTACGAAGGTCGACAACACCGTCATGCCTTTACGTCGCCGCAACTCAAACACCACATACAGTTGTCTTTCCCTCGAGGCCTCACCGAACTGCAGGTTGCGTATGGCATAACGTGAGAGAAAACCAGGTCCATTGTACGATACCGTTCCCTCGTCTACCTTAAATTGTACATACTTGTCGTAGATGGAGAGCAACTCGAGGTCTAAACTGCAAGCTTGGGTGTCAAATGGATAAGCGTAGAGGTCAAAGCCACAGGAGAAACTTGCAATGTAGTGCTCAGTGAGAGCTATAACGTTGGCTTCACCCGGGTACACCAGATCTGAGCAAGTGGAGAAGAATTACGTTAAGAAAAATGATAATTGAATTGTCTATGAATCATATCACTGTCTAATAACTACTTCAATGGGGTTACCTTAAGATTCGCCCCATCCCCCAAGGATGTGAAGAAAGTGTTATGTTGTAAGGATGTGAAGCAGGTGTTATGTTGATATGACGTGCAACAGGTGTCATGTCACACTCACCTGTATCCACGTCGTTGTAGTAAGGATTGGAGGCATTTTTGGCTGTTGTGATCGACATTGCGGTGCTCAAGAGCTTCACCTGCCCACTGTCCAGGTTCATTATAAGGTATTCAGGCTTCCAGATCTTTTTAACATCCTCCTTGTATAAAACAGTCTCCTTATCTGCCCTCAGGTGTTTGAAAGTTAATCTGTCGTCTCGCCACTGGAGCGTCAAGTAGAACTCTAAGGATATAACCATGTTGACGTCATCTATGTTGGTGAAGCGGGTGAGAGTTATGGAGGGAATGACGACAAGGGCGGATCTGTTGGGCCCTGATGGGGGGAGGTACCAGCGGTAAGCACTGTTTACCATCACCACGCCACAGTTGTCCTCGTCGCTGCCGTCTGCACAGTCATGGCGAAGGTTACAGCGCAGGTGGTGGCTGATACACTCCCCGTTGAGACACATGAACTGACCTGAGTTACAGATAGATAGACTGATATTAACAGCGTCGCCTGGATTATTGTCACACACTGTGGAGTTGAAGATCCACTCGTGTTGCCCCAGTGGGTATTCTTGAGTATCTTCCAGGCGTGTCCAAGCTAGACTCTGGTTATTTTCTGTATTGATGATAAACCACGTCTCACTTTCGCCACTCCACATGACTGACTGGTCATAGAATCCACGAAAGAATGGTCGACTGTCAATGTAACCATCCAACCGAAACCTCGTCTGGTACCCATCGTCAAAACACAGACCGCGGAGGTAGAGGAAGGTGGAGGGAAGTAGTGTACAGGAGCCGCACTTCTTCATACGGCACAGTTCACCTCCCCAGAAACCGTTTGGCTTCATCGCCATACAATTGTCAAAAATACCCCCGTCTGGGTCCCCCGCCTCTATGGCGACGTAGTTGACAGGCTCCTCAGTGTTCACGTTCACCCACACGCCCTCTGTTACTTCATCTGTGAGTCCCATCCACATTTTCCAGTAGTTGTTGCCACACACGTCCACAAATGGCTGCAGGTGGCTGAAGAGAAGGTTGTTGTCTCTGTCAGACATCGCCACTGCCATAGAAGCTCCAAAGAAACGACACTTGTGTAGTGATTCAGAGAAGGTTCGTCCCTCAGGCAGGACTACATAGCGGGGCGGCTGCCTGAGAACACAAATCCCACCACTAAGTTAAAGCTACTGAAGAATGAATCTGAACATATAAACTTACAATCAAACTTACTATGACTAATTGTTGTATACATAAGAGTAATTTGGTCATCTCTGGTACCTGCAAAGTTCAGAGAGGGCCAGACTAGTCTCCTTGATGGGCCCAAACAGTTCGAGGGTGGCTGTGTCCAGGCTGAAGACGTTCCCACGACCAAGGGCTCGACACCTGGCTAAGTCCTCGATCTCCTCCGGCAGTAGCAGACGATCCCAGAAGCTCACCTGGGTTATATCTCCCTGTATGATCTACCAGAAAGTTTATCACGATTAAATTAACGAAAATGTGTCGTATAAAGGTGTATTATTGACTATGACAGGAATAGCAATACAAATGAACGGCTACTTATTCTTCTTTTACTAATATTACTACTACTACAGCTACTACTACTACTACTACTACTACTACTACTACTACTACTACTACTACTACTACTACTACCTGTGTGTTGGTGAAGGCGCCGCTCAGACTGTCTTGGTCTTGGCCCAATATGAGGCAGCCGTTCAGATGGAGGGTCGAGTCACCATCAAACTGTCCCTTCACCAGTTCCTGCCGTCCAAGAGGATGTGTGTGTGTTTCGGGTGATAGTTAGATAGAGTTATCCCCCCCCCTCTTCCCCACTCTATCCTCCCTCTCTCTCACTTACTCTATCCTCTCTCTCTTTCACCTACCTTAGCCCCCTTTCTCTCCCCCACTCTATACCCTCTCTCTTTCCCCTACTATATCCCCCTCTCTCTCTCTATCTCCCCCACTCTATCCTCCCTCCTTTTTCTCTCTTTCTCTCACCTATCTCATTACCCAAGTGAGGTAACAGGAACCCGCCCCCCCTAATCCAACCTACCTCACCCTGCCAGTACACGGTAACGGTGGTGGGGTTAATTAGGTAGCACAGGTGTTCCCATTGCTCAGGTAAGACCTCATACGTAGTGCTAGAGGTGACCGCTAGGGCTTGGTCGTTCACGTAGACTCTGAGGTCGTCACCATCGTTATCTATAAACAGAAGATAAGAATTTAGGAAAGTTTGAGGTTTATTCGTATATTATTCATTGTACTCAAAGGGTTAAGACTTCGTACTCAAAGGGTTAAGTCATCGTACTCAAAAGGTTAAGTCATCGTACATAAAGGGTTAAGTCACCTTACTCAAAGGGTTAAGGCCAGCCAGGTACTGATAAATATAAGTAATTTGGTTGGCCAAAAGTATAAATATCACGCGAATTTATCTAATGTTACAGCAACACATGACAAACGACACATGATAATTTGTAAACCAATCATAATGAAGATCTAAACAAAATATGTCAGCCAGTCATAATTGAGGTCTTCTGTACGCTGGAGTAAAGGAATATTTTGTTTTCATTAAGTTGGTTTAATTATCCCTAATCATAGCGGAAGTCATTATAAAAAAGTACCTGCAGTAATTTACCTGTGATGTCGTTTATGTACGGTGACTGTCATTTTTTTTCTAGAGTAAGTGACAGTCCATGGTGTGGTTCTAGAGTAAGTGGGAGTCAAGGGTGTGGTTCTAGAGTAAATGGGAGTCAAGGGTGTGGTTCTAGAGTAAATGGGAGTCAAGGGTGTGGTTCTAGAGTAAATGGGAGTCAAGAGTGTGGTTCTAGAGTAAGTGGGAGTCAAGGGTGTGGTTCTAGAGTAAATGGGAGTCAAGAGTGTGGTTCTAGAGTAAGTGGGAGTCAAGGGTGTGGTTCTAGAGTAAATGGGAGTCAAGGGTGTGGTTCTAGAGTAAATGGGAGTCAAGAGGTGGTTCAGAAAAAGGGAGTCAAGGGTGTGGTTCTAGAGTAAATGGGAGTCAAGGGTGTGGTTCTAGAGCAATGGGGAGTCAAGAGTGTGGTTCTAGGAGTAAGTGGGAGCCAAGGGGTGGTCTGACAAATGGGAGTCAAGGGTGTGGTTCTAGAGTAAAATGGGAGTCAAGGGTGTGGTTCTAGAGTAAGGGAGCCAAGGTGGTTTCTAGAGCAAATGGAGTCAAGGGGTGGTTCTAGAGTAAATGGAGTCAAGGGGGTGGTTCTAGGAGCAAGGGAGTCGGTGTGGTTATAGAGTAAGTGGAGTCAGAAGAGCGTGTCTTTTAGAGTAAGTGGGAGCTGGCGTGGGTTCTAGAGTAAGTGGGAGTCAAGAGTGTGGTTATAGGAGCAAGTGGGACAAGGGTGGTTCTCAGAGCAAGGGAGTCAAGAGTAAGTGGAACATGGGGTGTAGTTTCTAGGAGTAAGGGAGTCAAGGGTGGGGTTATAGAGTAAGTGGGACAAGGTGGGTTCTGTATAAGTGGGAGCCAAGGTGTGGTTATAGAGTAAGGGAGTCAAGGGTGTGGTTCTGCAGGGAGTCAAGGGTGGGGGGTTATAGAGTAAGTGAGCTGCAAGAGCAGGGCCTCAGAGTAAGTGGGAGTCAAGGGTGTAGTTCTAGAGTAAGGAGTCAAGGGTGGGGTTAGGAGTAAAGGGAGCGGGAGTGTAGTTCTAGGATAAGGGAGCCAAGGGTGTGGTTCTAGAGGCGGGAGTCAAGGGGTGGGGGGTTATAGAGTAAGTGGGAGTCAAGGGTGTGGTTCTAGACAAATGGGGAGTCAAGAGTGTGGTTCTAGGAGTAACTGGGAGTCAAGGGTGTGGTTCTGTAGAGTAAATGGGAGTCAAGAGTGTGGTTCTAGAGTAAGTGGGAGTCAAGGGTGTGGTTCTAGAGTAAATGGGAGTCAAGAGTATGGTTCTAGAGTAAATGGGAGTCAAGAGTGTGGTTCTAGAGTAAATGGGAGTCAAGGGTGTGGTTCTAGAGTAAATGGAAGTCAAGGGTGTGGTTCTAGAGTAAGTGGGAGTCAAGGGTGTAGTTCTAAAGTAAGTGGAAGTCAAGAGTGTGGTTCTAGAGTAAGTGGGAGTCCATGGTGTGGTTCTAGAGTAAATGGAAGTCAAGGGTGTGGTTCAGAGGTAAGTGGGAGTCAAGGGTGTGGTTCTAGAGTAAGTGGGAGTCAAGGGTGTGGTTCTAGAGTAAGTGGGAGTCAAGGGTGTGGTTCTAGAGTAAGTGGGAGTCAAAGAGTGTGGTTCTAGAGTAAGTGGGAGTCAAGAGTGTGGTTCTAGAGGGAAGTCAAGGGTGTGGTTCTAGAGCAAGTGGAAGTCAAGGGTGTGGTTCTAGAGTAAGGAGAAGGTGTCAGAGTGTGGTGTCTAGAGTAAGGGAGTCAAGGGTGTGGTTCTAGAGTAAGTGGGAGTCAAGGGTGTGGTTCTAGAGTAAGGGAGTCAAGGGTGTGGTTCTAGAGTAAGTGTGGTTCTAGAGTAAGTGGGAGTCAAGGGGTGTGAGTAGTAGAGTAAGTGGAGTCAAGAGTAAGTGGGAGTCAAGGGTGTAGTTCAGTCAAGGGTGTAGTTCTAGAGTAAGGGAGTCCATGGTGTATTTCTAGAGTAAGGGAGTCAAGGGTGTGGTTCTAGAGTAAGTGGAGTCAAGAGTGTGGTTCTAGAGCAAGTGGGAGTCAAGGGTGTGGTTCTAGAGTAAGTGGGAGTCAAGTGTGGTTCTAGAAAGTGGGAGTCAAGGGTGTAGTTCTAGAGTAAGTGGGAGTCAAGAGTGTGGTTCTAGAGTAAGTGGGAGTCCATGGTGTGGTTCTAGAGTAAATGGAAGTCAAGGGTGTGGTTCTAGAGTAAATGGAAGGGTGTGGTTCTAGAGTAAGTGGGAGTCAAGAGTGTGGTTCTAGAGTAAGTGGGAGTCAAGGGTGTGGTTCTAGAGTAAGTGGGAGTCAAGGGATGGCACCTATAAACGACATGACTTACAGAAAACAAGAGCATTAGAGTTGTGGTCACTCGTTGCGTAAGACAAGTGAATGTCGTAAAGCGCCAACCTCCAACCTGTAAAATATATAATCATTTATTTTTTTATTTAATTTTTTATGTTTAATGGGATGCGAACTCATAAGCAAGTTAGCGGATGACACCAAAATAGGGCGGCAGATTAATTCAGGGCAGGGTGCAAATGCACTACAGGAGGATTTAAATAAACTGCAGGAGTGGTCAGAAAAATGGCAAATGAAATTCAACACCAGCAAGTGCAGCGTACTTAATATTGGAAGAACAAATACTGTCATTGTATACAGCCTTAACAACATCAACATAGAGAAGTCGACTTGTGAAAGAGACCTAGGGGTACTTTAGCCCGGACCTACGGTCTAGAAAACAGTGCGTTAATGTTCGAAATAAGGCAAACAGAGTATTGGGTTTTATATCTAGAAGTAAGTAATAAGAGTGCAGAGGTCTTATTGCAACTATATCTTGCGCTAGTTAGGCCGCACCTCGATTATGCGGTTCAGTTCTGGTGCCCTATTATAGAATGGATATCAATTCACTAGAGTCGGTGCAGCGAAGAATGACGAAAATGATTCCGGGACTTAGAAACCTTCCATATCAGGATAGGTTAAAGAAACTAAACTTGCATTCCCTAGAAAGACGAAGAGTGCGGGGAGATATGATAGAAGTATTTAAGTGGGTGAAAGGCATCAATAAAGGGGATATAGATAAAGTTCTTATAATATCCGAGCAGGAGAGGACTCGAAACAACGGATTCAAGTTGGATAAGTTTAGGTTTAGGAGGGAGATAGGAAGGAACTGGTTCACAAATAGGGTGGTGGACGAGTGGAACAAGCTTAGCAACTTTGTAGTAAGTGCTGGAACGCTGGAAAGTTTTAAAAGGAGGCTAGATAGATTCATGGATGATAGAGAGTGGTAGTAACTCTCGACAGGAGCTGCCAGGCACAGACCAACCGGCCTATTGCAGACTCCTTATGTTCTTATGTTCTTATGTATTTATTGCTCTATTCACTTTTCAACGTCATATATATTCAGTTACGCATACATTCAAACCTGGAACAGCGAAACCTCCATATAACGTACTAACCTCTTACATATAGTTCGTTAGATGGAACTTTTATATATAACGGACTAACCTCTCATATATAGTCCGTTATAAAGAGGTTTTTATTGCAACTAACCTCAGCCTATAGCAGATAGTATAGTGGGTGAGAGGTTCAGTGCCAGTGAAGTTGTAGCGGAGGAACACATCGTCCCGCGGCACAGTCCACAGACCCCGCTGCATCGTGAACACCCTTACCTCCTCCTCCTCCTGCCCCTCCTGCTGGTGCTGCTGCTGCGGTGTATCTGTAGATGAGACATTCAGAGTGTAGATGAGACAGGCAGAGTGTAGATGAGACAAGCAGGGTGTACATGTATATAAAACAAGCGAATCTGTCTATCTATCTATCCATCTCCCTCACACCAACAGCTTCCTTCTCTCACCTGCAGCAAAACCCAAAGAGGCGCCCGCAGCCACACACCACCACACCACCATCATCACACCACATTGGCTAAAATCCATCACCATTTGTCGGTAACTGTCCGTGGCTTGCTGTCCAGGATAAGCCAAGAATCTGAAATAAAGTGATTAAAAGTAAAGTGAACGGTATAAAGTGACGTTTGGAAGATATAGAATCATATAGGAATAGATATAATGAGGAAGAATGATAACATATATAGATCTTATAGAGAGGAATAACAGTGAGCCTAGAATGAACTTTTTGAACAATCTACCTGATAAATTTTACCTGTATACCTGGTACTAATTAAGACTCGACGTTCATTATACACTATACAGGAGAGAAACAAAGAACCCAAAATAATGAAAAATTCAACGAAATGAATAATTATCATTTATTCGTTAATGGTAGAGTTCATTGTATCACTAATGTATTGGAAGTGACATTGCGTGACCTAACATAATAAATTGATATGTAAACACTTCTACAGTACACTCATTCCTGTACCTGGCTGATAAAATGACTCCAGTTATGTGCATGTGTTAACTACTGATGTAAAATGGTGGACAAAGGGAATAAAGCAGGGAGAGAGGTAGGAAGAGAGGGGGTAGGGAGAGAGGGAGGTAGGGAGAGAGGGAGGAAGGGAGAGAGAGAGGTAGGGAGAGAGGGAGGTAGGGAGAGGAGGGGGAGAGAGGGAGGTAGGGAGAGAGGGAGGTAGGGAGAGAGGGAGGAAGGAGGTAGAGAGGGAGAGGGAGGGGTGAAGTGGAGAGAGGGAGGGAAGGAGGGAGACAGACAGGGAGGGAGGCAGGAGGAAGGCAGGGAGGGAAGCAGGGAGGTGGTGTAAGGAAGGATAATGGTTGGTGGAAACTTAGCAAGATTTTCATAGTGGCAGGTGATTTTTTTTCAAGGACATATATTAATTATTTTTGTCCACACCTGTAAGCCAGAGGTAAGGTTTATTTACGCGTTGTATGTTTATGAATACTGTATGAGTGTGAGTGTACATGAAAGTTATT